TTGGCGATATGTCCAAGTCCATGTCCGAGGACTCGTCACCCACGGTCGTACCGAGGGCCGTATCGATTCTTTCCAACTTGTCGTTTATGGTCGACAGTTCGTCGTTCAGCTTGTTGGCCTCCTTGCTGGTGCAGGGCTGCTCGAGTCTGCCGTGTATGGCGATCATGCGTGTCCGGAGCTGATGCTGAGCTACCCTCAGATCGGATTTGATTTTGTTCATACTGTTGATTAGGTTATTCCGGTCCAATTCCGATAGGATCTTAGCACCGTGTGGCGAATGGGGCCTGGTCCGGGTCTGCGGCTCCTCGCTGCGACGCTTCTCGGGTATTGGGGAGGGGGAGCTACCCCTCTCGATGGGCTTGTAGTCAAACGGTGAGTCGTTGCTCGACAAATGACGTTTGTTCACCTTACGTTCGACCTTGTCGGGAACCGTCGAAGTCTGAAGCTGCTGCTTAACGCTGGCATTGAGTGTCATGTTTTCCAGCGAGTCGCTAAGGGAAGAGCTCGATCCGGTCGATGGCGGCAAGTTCGGTTGAACATCCATGTCGGCAAGCTCCTTCGAATCGCCCTGGAACTTGACGAGCTTGCGTCGAATCTGGGCCAGCTCAACCTTCAGTCGCATGGCCAGCTCACTGCCGCAGGGCGCTTCGAGGCGCTTCTTTACAGTCGACATGCGACTGTTCAGATAGCTCTCCGTATTCTTTTTCTTGACGTGTCCATGGATCTGCATCGCCTGGACGTTCGCCTCGACTCCTGCGTGAAAGTGGCTTCCTGTGGGAAGCAGCTGCTGAATATTGGCCTCGCTCAGATTATACGAGAAGAGCTTTTTATTGCCAGCCTCGATAGCGGCAATGTTGCCCTTAGGCTTGCCCTTCCCTTTGCGCAGTGCCTCGTCTGGCGATGGCGATGGCGACGAGTCGGAGGTCCACTGCGATGCCTTGCTAGAATCGCTCTTCGTAAAATCAAAGGTCGACGAGGAATCGGACATTGATACGGATTTGTTACAGTCCAAATTTTTGGATTGCTCAAACTCCATAAACGCATTGGATCCGTCCAACGACACAGGCTTGGCCATTGGCAAATTGACGGAGATGCCAAGACAATTCGATGAAATCTCAGTCTTGCGACCTCTGGCCATTTCGACATCGTCCAACGGCTCCGATTCAGAGGAGACATCCGAGACCATCATGTTATTCTCGGGATGTTCCACGTTGACTGCGCTTGCCCTGTTCTCCAGATTGGCCGCCATGGGCGACCTGCGCCTCAGCGCCTTGGCACTGCTCTCAATGTTGGCTATCAGCTCAAGCTCGTTCGTCTTATTCGCTATGGCCTTGCGACGAAAGGGGACGTCGCGAATCAACGTATTGGAATCGGTGTCCATGAAATATGTGAATAGCTTATAGTTAGCCTTATAGTCGATATTACTCGGATTTGCTGGATCGATCAGCGGTATATTTTTCATTAGGGAATTGCGTGGATATTCCGGACCCTGTTTGAATGAATAGTTTGGCTTTAGCTTCATGTTCTTACGGCTAAAGCGTTTCTCTTCGGACATAATCTTAAACGGTTTCGGTTGCATGACGTAATCGAATGGAGACGGCGAGTCCAGTATGGAAGGATAGAGGCTACCTCGCAGTCTAGCCTCCCGCATCTTTCGCATTCGCCACTTGCGGCCGCAGTACTTGACGAAGCGCATCAGAAAGAGACCCGCCTTCACCTGGAGCTTGCGAGGCAGCAGGTAGGCCGCTGGCAATCGAATGCAATTGTGCATAAAGTACTCCATATACTGGCCAATCGGAAACTCTAGCTGACGCATTAGATCTGCATTCTGCGAGACCTCGTTGATGGTCATTAGAAGCGAGCTAACGGTCGGAAATTGATGAAAGTTGCGAATGGCTCGCGCTGCTCGCGACATTGATTGACCCTTTAATAATACTTCCGTATTCGGATTAGTCTTGAATGGATTCATTTTTGATGTTGACGGTTTTATCTTATCAAAATCGAAATTTAAGTCAAGAAAAAGACATTTGAACTCATTGGAAGACCAAATGAAAATCTAAATTTCACACTTACTTTCGAGCACGAGCTGAGTTTGGGAAAGCTTTCGTTTGAAAAGAAAGGAAATGGCATACGACATAAGAAGTTGTCAAAATGCTGCCATTTCTCGACTCGTATATCGATAGCCAGGCGAGCAGCTAGGATACTACGAACTTGTTCAACACTGGCTCACAAACTAGCATTGCTGAAAGTGTATCGTTTGAACTGAACTATAAAATGCCTCATCCAGCCATTGTGATCCATTGTGCTCTGGATCGCCTGATCGCCAAAGCTTAGCTCGATAACACAAGCAATTAGCTCATTCCCATAAGGCCATTCAAGTTCAGATTGAAATCGCCTGAAAAGGACTGGAATCCAGCTGCCCCAGTCGGGGATTTACCCGCGCTCATAGCTATTATGTGGCAACATTGTTCAACACTGGCCTAATCAAAACGTCAAGCACTGGCACGTGCTGCTCCATGACACAAGATTGTCAGATGAGATGTCATAATAACAATTTCCATGCGGCTCGTGTCGATGCCGACGTCGATGCTTTCGAAAGTGAAAATCTGATGCGGCTTAGTGGAGGCAACAACAACTGCAGCAGCAGCAGCAGCAGCAGCAGCACAGCGAGGCACAAGCACCACACACACTGAGCGCATCTATTTGAATTTTTGATTTCGTTGGTCTCGGCGCTAGCCGAAACCCAGATGAGCTACCTGCCAGAGATTTGCTGGCTGTGACTTCAGCTGAGTCAGCTGCAATAAATTTGAATTGTGCATTGGATTTGGTCTGCGCAAGGCCACATGCCCGACCGTGGGTAGCGCAGCGAAGATGCAGACAGACCTATTTAACGCCTCGAGCCATCAAAGTGCATCGTGGGCGTCTCTGTCTGTGCCTGTTGGCTGGTGCCTCTTGCTGGTTGCTGCTTTGCCTTTCGCGTTCCATGATAAGAGCGGCTAGACGCCGGCCCCAATACGACTAGCCAATGCTCTCGCCCCCTCTACCTAGTCAAGCATTAACGCTCAATTGTAGAAAAGTGCTGCCAATTTGCTGAAAATGTTTGACTATCCAGATTGATAGCTACCGAGTGCTGCCCATTTCTTCAAAACTAATTAGCCACACTAAAAGTTGTCGATGGACATCTAATGGAGGCATGTGAGGAAATGTCAAGTTCTTAAAAAGCTCTTAAATTACACATGATTTGCCAACTATAAATATATAGATATATACTTATATATATACTATCTACTATATGGAATTGCTCATCGCGAATGCATACTCATTTCATAAGCTATTCAAATTGTTTGACTGTGCCACGCCCACACGCCCACAGCTAGCGGCAGACGTCAGCAGCTGTCGTTGCTGACCTTAAATGGTCTTAGGGTATATATATATATATATATATATCTCCCCCTCTCTCTTTGTAATGAAACGGTGAAACAATAAACACCAAATAAAGCACTTTGAATGCAGTTTGTGGCGATAGCCATAAAAAATAAAAAAAAAAAAACAAAGAAAGATTTAAGAAAAGCAAAAATAAAAAATAAAAAATAAATAAATAATAAGCGATTCGAGAGAGATGGAAACATTGAAATTGTTAAAATATTAAATTATTACAAAAATGTGCATAAATGAATATGGAATGATGTATGTAAATGGAAATGGAATGGGAATGGGAATGGGAATGGGAATTGGAAGTGGAATGGGAAATGGTAATGGAAATGCATGACACGTCGTTTCCATTTGCCGCCTCTCGTCGTGCTGCAGCGGCGCCTTCAAATTGCATCCCAATTGTCTAGATGCTGCTTGCATCGATCGCATCATATCGCAGCGTCGCCGATCAGATTGCACTTCATTACTTTCGTAAGCGACGATGACATAAACATTCATTTGCTATACCCTGAATCCATTCAATGTGCCAATGCAGGATATGTTGCCTTGGCGTGGCAGATCCCATAGAGTACAAAGAGTCTTGACGATCTGGGCATAGCATACGATTCCAAGCGCTTAGCCTTGCATGCATATTAAAATCGGAAATCTCTATGATCTATATTTAATGGATAGACTAAGTTCAACAGTCTTTGCTCTAAGCATCTATCATATTATTCTCTTATCTATTTCGCGCCAAGAAGCTGCTTTCAGTCACATCGATTACTGCTTCCTTTCAGCCATGGAGAGTACACAAAAGACAGACAGAAGTAGACATGGCATATACCTTAAAGTATATTTAGAACTGAGTCGATCCAGCTCTCTGTCTATTTGTTTTCCTTTTTCGATATATTCTATCGATAAAAATCGATGAATCAGTTTGGAGAGCTTGAAGTTGCTTGGCTTTCTGCTTGTGGTTATTCACGATATTTTCAACAAGAAATTAGACTCCAGTTCAGCTCGTTCCATCTAGGTCCTATCCACAATGTAGCTAGACTAATTAGTAACCAAAAGTATCTGTGCCCATTCACAAATTGCGCTGTCCCCCTCTCTGCGCGCCTCGGTGTCTCTGTGTGTGCCCAAATGACTGATGAGTGACGAGTGTTTGCAATTGGAATTAGTTTGCCTCGCAGCAGCAGATTTTTCATTTTCATTTTCATTTTCATTTCTTTTCATTTGCTTTTCTAATTAATTATGCATAAGATTGCGGCGCCATCAATTCGAATGATGCAGCTCCTGTCGCGCGTATACCCTGTACTCGCCCAAGGGGCGCGGCATGGGGTGTAGTCGGCTGGCCCCGTTGGCTAGCTGCTGCGATCTTAGAACAAAAAAAAAAAGAAAGAAATCAACAAATTCTGCGCTAAATTCTTGAGACGCTTAAAAATAAACTTTGCTAGATTTTTGTCGCGCTTTAAAAAAAAACTAGAAGAGGAAAACATTTTTTTTTCGACTTTCACTTGCGAGCGACGCATTTCCCATTGTTGTTGTTGCTGCTCACTAATTTATTGTTGCGCTCTTTAATTTGTTTTCAGCACGCAAATTATGTGCGACAAGCAGCCGAGGACTATTTGGCACGACGACAGGCGCGCAACAAATCAATGACACGCTCCATGACTTCCGGCTTGGCCGGACCGATCCTTGCCCTGGGCAACGTGTATTATCTGCCCGCAGCCAAGAGCGGCACATTCTTTGCCCGCGACAATGTCTCCAACTTTATAACCTGGTGCAGGTGAGTCTCGCTGCCATTTTGGATCATATTTGGCTCCGTCTAGAGTTCAGTGATCAGCAATAGATTCTACTAAAGGTCAATGATCAGCCAGCAGAACATAATTTGTTGAGAACTCTCAGCTTTCATGACAATCTTAAGAGACTGTCGATCTTCGAAGATAATGATCACTCAACTAACTAACTGATCACCTATCACTGATCACGGATCACTGATAACTGATAAGTTCAAACTCATAAGTGTTGCTAGATCACTGAGCATGGATCATGATCACTGATCACTGCTTTCAGTTTTCGCAGTTTACTGATCAATGATCACTCATGATCAATGATCACTCATGACCACTGATCATGGCCCTTCGCCAACATATGTCTACTGCCAACTTCTTAATGCCAACTACTTGCTGATCACTACTAACTGATCACCGATCACTACTAACTGAGCAGTGCTCGCTCGATCACTACTGATCACTGATCACAGCTAACTACCCACAGATCAATACTAATTGATCACTGCTCACTGCCAACTTCTTACTGATCACCTCTAACTGCTAACTGATCAGCGATCCCTGATCATTGCCCAGCTCTCACTCTGCTAACTGATCACATACTACTGATTAACTGATTGACAGTTAAATCAATGGCAAGTGAAGCGCTCTGCTCAAACGATTTGTCATTTACAGAAAAAGCCTTAAAATCATCGAGTGCCTATTGTTCGAAACGGACGATCTGATCATGCGCAAGAACGAGAAGCATGTGATTCTCTGTCTGCTGGAGGTGGCCAGACGTGGCGCCAAGTTTGGTAAGTTTCACCAAAATCATGATCAAGGCTGATCAATAAATATATATGTATATGTGTGTATGTATCTATCGATAGGCATGCTAGCGCCGATGCTGGTGCAAATGGAGCGGCAAATCGATCGGGAAATCGCGGCCGATAACAAAGCCAACGGCGTCGGCTGTGGCACACAGACAAACAACGGCTGCTCAGAGAGCGGCACTCAAACGGAGGCGCCACCCATCGGCGACGAGTGTGTGGCCAACGAAGCGGATCTGTATGACAGCGACACAGAGAACGAGGATGAGAACGATAAGGACCCGATGCTGATGTACGGGCCCCAGCCACAGATCATAACCAACGATCTGAAGAGCCTCGACGAGATGGTAAGTGCAGATCGAATTCGCTAGCCCTAATTGCGACTACTGTTTACTGTCAGCTGGCAACTGGCTTTTCCATACGGTTTCCCTCGACTCCTCCAGACAGAGGTGTGTGTGTGTGTGGGTTCAGTGGGTCTATGTTTTCTCTTTTATATATTTTTTTAGTCGCCGCGGACCTCACGACTTTTTGTTATTGTTGTTTTCATAGCTACTCTTCTCATGTCCATTTTTAGCCACGGCTAAGTTTCCAGTTTCAAACTTGGGCAAAACAAATCAAAAGCAGCCAACAGCAGCTACCGCAACACAGAAAGACTATGCGAGTTGTCGAAACAAATGCAATGGATAATTGCTTTCGACGACTTTGCCGAAAAACGTATATGTACCTCTACCTAGCTATCCAAAAACAAATAATCTAGTACTTGCCCAGGCAAGTCGTGATCTCGGCTTCTCCCCAGAGCTTGAAACTCCAGCTGGATCAACTGGGTTCCATTAGCTCCACATAATACTGCTGCGAAATTCTCCAAATAGCATTTGTTCGAGCGAAGCTTGTGCTTGCAAAATGTCAATAGATATTCACAGTAAGCCAATCGATATTATCGTTTGTTGGGACCAAACCTTAGCACAAAGATCAAATTCTTTAAAGATCATATGTTTTTCATTAAAGAGTTTTATTAAATAAGTGAATCGAAAGGTGCGTATTTCGATTAACTTATATTCGATATTTATCGATTATTATGAAGCACTCTTATCTCAAAGCGAAATTTACTAAGGAGCACATGTTCCAATTTTGATCAAGTTTGTGCGTAAAAAGAACGATTGTCACATAAAAACAAGTAATCGATATGTATCGATTATTAAAAGAAATTATTATCAAGAAGAAAATATGTTTTACAGCATGCCTAAACAAGGCTGCAAACGATGTCTACTTCGAAATTCAATTCAGTTTGAGCTATAAGCGTAAACTTGAACCGATAAATTGATCGATTATGTTTACTATCAGAATACTGTAGCTGTATCATTAAGTATCTTCATAGAACCGCTATTATAATTCCCTAACAACTCTCTCCCTCTCTTTCTACCTAACGGTTCACTTATCGATACTTCCGCACTGATTGATTTATCGTTTATCGCTGGAAAAATATTCAAAGCATTTCACAGCATCGTCGATTGGCAACGCTTATGTCACGGCAGCTCAACATATTGTTAATTAATTTGACAAGATGTTCGAGGCGTTTCATTGCCGCCCCGTTCCATGCCCGTGCCCGTTCCGTTTCATATCGTTTCCATTTCGTTTCGCTAGCTGCAAGTCGCTTGTTGCCCGGTGGCGCCAGCTGTGCCAACAGCAATTACAACAATCGCCAATTGCCAATGGTAATTGCAAGTGTGACTGCCAGCAACATGCGACGACAGCAACATGCAGCAACAGCAACAGCAACAGCAACATGCAACAAGGATTGAGGAGTCAGTCAGAGCAGGCCAAGCCGGGCCAGACCAGGCCGGGCCAAGGCAAAATATCGGAAAACTAATGAAAAGCCAAAGCCAAAGCCAAAGCCAAACATTTCCTCACGCCGCCAGCGAGCATTGACAACAATGCCTGCCCAACTTCCCTCTCCTGCATCGACAGCTGCTCGATGGATGGATAAATCGTTGCGCATTTATTGGACGCAACATGGACATGAACGTGCTGCCAAAACATTGTCAGGCAAACACAGCAACGGCAACAACAACAACAACAACAACAACAACACAGTCTGCCCCGGCGGGCGGACATGCTCAATGGAACGAGCGCCTGTGTCGGATCTTGGCAGCGCGATCACTCAGCCAGCCAATCAATTTGTTTGCAGCGGCAGCAACAGCGGCAGCCAAATCAGCAAATAGCCTCAACAACTTGTCGAAAATCAAATGATGTGCCACCACGACAGCAGCAACAGCAACAGCAACAGCAACAGCAGCGGCAGCAACAGCAGCAACTGTTGCAAACCAGCCACGAATCATTTGTCGCTGCCGTTTGGCACGTCCGCGTCGTCAACATTGTTGTTGCTGTTGCTGTTGCTGTTGCTGTTTGTGTTTGCAATTTATGGCTTAGGCCAGGATCACAGCGCCAGCTAATCTTGCATGCGTCACAGTCACGCCGTGCCTCTTCCTCAAAGCCCGCCAGACCGACCGACCGCCCGCCCGCCCGTCCACTCCCCTCTCATCCAGTTTAGCTGCTCCTCATCTCCTCTCATCTGCAGCTTGCTCGCCTTGTCAATTGCGAATCTCTGCGCCTGGCAGATCATTTTGCTGGCTTATCGCCATTTGAGATTTATTGTGATGTCGTCTTGCCACAAGCTACGCCCAGACAGCCACATCCACATCCAAACCCTCTGCTGCCTCTGTTGCAGCAACGCATTTGCAGCTGTGGCACAGTTCCCAAAACAAAAACCAAAAACGGGCAATACAGAAATCTATGAGCCTCAGCTAACTAGCGAAGTTCAAAGGTGCAAATGCGTTTTGTCTGTTTCGCCAGCCTGAACTCGCAGGCCCCACCCCCGCTCAGCTTCTCCTGCTGCAGGCTGTGCCGCTTTTTATGGTACTCGGACTCGCAGCCCTGTCAAAGGCAGCCACAAGAGCACAGTAGCCAAGCAAAGCAAGCAAAGCGAAGCGCAGCTCCCTACAGACACGATACGTAGCAAAGCCAGTTGCATTTTGGTGCCCAAGTCTCTTGGCCTGGCCTAACCTGGTCTGGTCTGGTCTGGGCCAGGTCTTTGTCGTCGTCGTCGTCGTCGTCGCTGTTGTTGCTGTTGTCGCAGGCTTGGCTGTTCCGCTCATTTGTTTGATCATTTGTTCGGACAATGGCAGCGCGTGAATTTATGCAGTGAAAAGCGAAGTCCAAAGAGTCGTTTGTCGTTTGCTTCTCTTGAACTTATGCAATGGCCCAAGGGGTCAGCCCCAGGCTCAGCTCCCTGCACACAAACAAACTTTATACACAAATACCTACATGTTTATATATATATATATATATCTATCTATGGATACAATACTGTAGTTGACACAAATTTTTGCTTACAGGTCAGAGATTTGGTGGAGAAGTGCACATGCCCCTCACAATTTCCCATGGTGCGCGTATCCGAGGGCAAATATCGCATCGGCGACACCAAAGTCCTCATCTTTGTGCGGGTAAGTCCAAGCGGCAGCTGCAACTCAAATTTTATCTTTCAATAAAGCTTTACACTAGTCTAAAACCGCCTTTGTTAGCTAGCATTTTAGCCATTTTCTAGCTAAAATTTAAGACTAAAAATCCATTTCTTTTTAGCAAAATGTGAGCTTAATTTTTAGCTGGTTTGACTGTCGTCTAGACTCCTGACAGAGCTGAGCTTTCGTATTAGGCAAAAGACTAAGTGTCAGCTATAAGTGTAGCTAAACTTCTAGCTGCCAAATACCTAGACCCGACTTCGATTTAACTCTTGATTAACAAGCTAACTTTTAGGCTAACTGATGCTTGAGCTGTCTCATCAAATTGCGCCAAAGCTTCTGGCGAAACTTTCAACTAAACCTCAGCCAAACTGCTGCTTAAACTATCTCTTAAAATTCCAACTAAAATGAAGTCTCAGCCTTTGCCTACAGTGAAGTGAGTCTCAGTTTTTTGTGCTCTAATCACTATTAGAAGCCGAGTCTGTGTGTCCGTCCTGCTGTCTATCTGCTCAGCTCACATTCATTGCGTGTTATCGATAAGTTTGTTTGCTTTCTGAAAATCGATTGTAAACAATATCGAAATTCAGCTCTTTAAGTCAGAAAAGAATGGAGTCCTCGATAAGTATTGGTCTCACCTGGTCATCTTCTATTTGCAGATCTTGCGCTCGCATGTGATGGTGCGCGTGGGCGGAGGCTGGGACACGCTCGCCCATTATCTGGACAAGCACGATCCCTGCCGCTGTCGTGCCCAGCATCGCAGCTCGTTGCAGGCCCGTCTGATGATCCGCAATACGAGCAATTCCGGCAATGGCATTGAGCTGCACAAGGCGCATGTGATATACGAACGGTGAGTGACTGACCTGTTGACATGTTGTTGTCCACGTTGAAGCTAGCAGGTTAATAACTAGCCGGAACACCCCCGTGCTGCCCCGTTCGCGTGCATCCCCTTCATTAGCCACGCGACGGCCCCATTATGGGGCCGATGCATTAAGTTGTTATCGCCCCGCTAATTGCATGCATAAAGCCGGATAATGATGGTGCGAGTGCGCTTAGAGCACCAGTAGACACACAGAATCCGCAGCCAGTCGCGCTGAGTGCCCCATTAACAAGCTCCATTAAAGACACACTCACGGCGAGCCTAAATAGAGGCGCAGGGGCAGGGCGGGGCCCAGTAGTCGCAGTAGTTACTTTGAATACCCATAAAATGCATTCGTTTATTCATTCATGAATTGACGCGCTCATTCACCAAACGCAAATGCATGTGCCATGCATCTCCATGTGCTTCCTGTGCCCAGCTCAGAGTCCTTGTTGACTAAAGAAACGTTTCTGTAGCTCATGATTGCAGCTTTGTGCAGCCAACTTAACAGGCCCAAACCAGTGCTAGCTTGTTAAGTTGGCCGTGCTCCAGCGCAGCCAACTTAACAGGCTTAAGGCATTGCGATGGTTGACAATCACAAAAAATTCGATGCGCGTAATACTAATTATATTCTATGGCACATGTCTAGCTAATTTGAAGCCTTTTACACAACGACTAATGACTACAGTTATGATGGGCCTCTTGAGAGATAAGTGCTTTGTGCTTTGTGCATTGTGTTTCGCAGAACCGAATCCGTATCAAATAAACAAGGCACCATAAAGCTTTAATAAACAAAGAATAGACTTTACTTTTTCCATTTTTCTAAACCCCCTCCAAGCTAAAATTCTTCTTCTTCTGGAGCACTACTTGCATATGATAGCAAAATGATCTTCACGTTGAGTGCAGAGCTTCAAATTTAGCTTCGCATCAGACGACCTTAACCATAGAACGATTTCCAATCTACTTCAATGGTTAGTTGTCGTTGGGTAATTTCTTTTACTAATCAAATCTATGATGTTATTGCTTCAATAGTTCCGTTTCGTGTTATATCAAATGAGCAATTACAGTTATTTATTTATAGACGTGTAAGTTCTGTGAAAACCCGATAAGATATCGACGCGTCGAAGTAAATCAATAATAAAATACAATGCATAACAGTAAACAGATAGAAAATCCAGCCGAGCCCTACTGACTGCATAATACGCGTTCCACATCTGATCGAATATTCAGACGTTCGATAGGTCGAGCAGCAAAACTTGTTGAGCCTTTCCCCAATGGAGCTCCAAGGATCGCATGCGAATCATATGCAGTCTATGTATAGAGAAGCTCAACAGCAAATCCCTTGAGAAGAAACAGCATTGTTTCTGATTTATGATCTATATATATATATATATATATAAGATGTATTTAAAATATTCCAGTTTTTGAATACTCGAACTGCTAACGCCTTTTTGGCATTTACCTATCGATTACTCATGGCACAATCGATTACTTGCAGCTCACCACCAGCAGCTCGACGCGTGTTATCAAACTTTGCAAATGGTTCCGGTTCCGGTTCCGGTTCGGGTGCCGTTTCACCAGCCGCTGGCGCCGGCGGCACCTCACCCAATGCCAGTGCAACATCCAATGGCGCAGCCGCCGTGAAACATCGCAGTCGCAGCCCGACGCCACAGCGCAAATTCTTGAACCAGACAAATGGATTGGCCCAGGCCGTGGAACAGCTGCCGCCGGGCTCGCCCGGCCTGATCAGACGCTCCATGTCGCCCAGTCAGCGGCGAGTCAACGATATGCGCAAGAAGCAGAGCTCACAAGACGCCTACAGCAGCGGACCGAAGTCGCTGCCCGCCTGCTCGGGCGCAGATGCCTCCTCGTCGGCGCACTACGTGGAGGAGTCCTCGTCATCGTCGTCGTCGTCGTCGGCGGCCACAGCAGCAACAGTTGCTGCCATTGCTCAGCCCGAGCAGAGCAACAAATTCGAGAACATCAGCGACAATGGCAGCGAGATTAGCGACGAGGGCTACCGCAGCCTGGGCGTCATCCAGTCCAATGCACAGAAGCGCGAGTCCCTGCACAGTCAGGCCTCCATCGAGGACGCTGAAACGAATGGTAAGATCACTGAATGGCAGATCACTGAAGCCAACTTCAATCCTTGTCCTTTGCAGCGCGTCTCGATCAAACGTCAAGCGACTCGCAAAGCTCGCCCACAGATGAGCACGACCAGGAGCAGGAACAGGAGCAGGAGCAGGAGCCAGAGCCAGTGCCTGAGGTGGCACTCAAGTCAAATTGTGCGCTGGAACAGGAACAGATACAGGAGTCAGAGCCGGCGCCAGAGCCAGAGCCAGAGCCGGACTATTCTCTCTGCGAACTGGATGGACCCCAATCGTTGCCCGCTGTGCTGCCAAGACAAGGCCCCAAGGCCGCCTACGTTAGCAAGTTCGAGCAGTCTGGCGTCTTTATTACAGATGATGAGATTACAGTAACTACAGCGGCAGATGCGGATGCAGATGCGGATGCGGATGCGGATGCGGATGCAGCTGCAGGCACCAACTGCAAGGCGCTGCGGACACCTCCTCTCAGCAAGATACCACGCTCGCCCATGGCCACGCGTCGTCGTCGCAGCAGCATTGATAACAGCACCTGCGGCAGCAAAGCCGGCGGCAGTCTCCAGGATTTGCACAGCATCAATCGGAAGCAGCCCGTTTATCGTTCGGTGCGTCGGCCGCCGGCAACGCCCAAGCCGAAGACGTCGCAGCTGCCGCTGGTGCGCGATGTGACCAATACGTGGAGCGGACGCAGTGCACCCCAGAACGGTGTCAGCGCCGGCAAGAAGCGGCCCATCATCAATGCGGATACATTTGCACCGCCCACAGCCACAGCCACATCGACATCCACATCGCCATCGCCCTCGCCATTTGAGCGGGGCAGCAAGACACGAAACTCGCAGATCCTCTACGACAACAACGGGCGACGCGTGCGCGGCGGCTGCTCGCTGACGACGTCGCCGGTGAAGAATCATGCCTCCTCGCCGCTGGCCCAGCAGCTGCTCGAGGCCGCGAGCAGTGCCAAGAACGATGCACAGATTCTGGAGAAGATGAAGTCGCTGCTCTCGCGCTATGCTGCCGGCAATCAGCAGCAACAACATCAGCAGCAGCAGCAGCAGCGGCCGGGCAATGGCAAGAAGACGCCCGTCTACGAGGACTTCACAACGGCCTGGGTGCACAGCAATGGCAATTTGGAGCGTTCCGAGAGCTGCTCACCGCCGGCCAAGGCGCGCTCTAAGCGCAGCTCGGCTGCCTCCTCCTGTGGCAGCAACAATTCAGCTGGCGCTGCCGCCGCCGCCGCCGCAGCAGCTGCTGTCATCTCGCCACGTAGGGAGCGCGGCATGTCCAAGATTCCGGCACCAGTGCGTCACCATACGGAGCTTTATTAACGGCGCGCCAAGGCGGCAGCCAAGAACAGCCCGATCACAGTGAAGCACGGGCGCTCTAGACCTTAATTAAGCTAATGGAATTGTCCGTCTATATATGTGTGTGTGTGTGGCTTGTTAGATTGTAGCGAACGCAGCCGTTCCAATAGACCTCAATGCACACATGCGCGATACGTATGCTGGCAAAGAACATACTCGTCTCTCTATATACACAAGAATACAGGAATAGGAAGTGAAGTGAAATGCAAATGCAAATGCAAATGAAAATGAAAACAAACTGCAACTGCCTCATTAGATCCCCAGGAACTCGGCTAATCCATGCACCAGTGCCAGCAGCAGTCATATCACAGAGAAGTCCTTAAGCTGTTTCTTCATCTCCAGCAACTCTTTGCTACTCTGCACTCTTACCCTAACTCTCAACATGTCAAGTGACTCGTTGTAATCACTCGCTGCTTCGCAACTCTAAAAGTAACGAGTAGACGCTGCGCCTAAGAGCTGTATAGCAGCACGATAGATCCGAACTCAATGCTTCCACTCGCCACTCGTTGCATTTCTATCTAGCGAGTGACGACTCGTCGACTGCATCACACTCATTCTACTCATCTGTCCAGCAAGTCATCTGCTCGCTACTCGCTACTCGCTACTCTCTACTCGCTACTCGCTACTCGCCACTCGTTGCATTTCTATCAAGCGAGTAACGAGTAGAACTCAACTCTCGTGCCGAAGTTACTTATGCCTGTGGCTCCAGCGCTCGCCCAACGAGTAGCACTCGCCACTCGCTACTCGCTAGTTTCATATTCAGTAATTGCTTGTGGACTGCGTGCCGTACGATGCGTCGAGAACCGAACATTTACAATCCAAAATTGAGACTTTCAAACTACAATTTTAACGTTTCCTCTTCTATATACGGATATACATATATACGGTTTTTTTCGAATAGATCATAAAGCTAAGATAGTTTTTTTTTATTGGCATAAAAATCTTAAGGAACTCTGATGCATTGCTCTCGTGATAGATAAAAAAATACAAAAAAAAGCCACATAGAAAGCGCATAATTTTCTAGAAGTTTTACGATTAGTGTACGCACACACTCACACACACGCACGCACACACACAACATGTTAAAGGAAAGAGAGAGAAAACAATTTGTATATAGAAAAAAAATGAAGAGAAAATGAAGAACTTTTGCCTAGTTAATTGGGTTTATGTAATAAAAGGTAACTAATTAGGACTCATTGTAGCAAGTGTGTATGTGTGTGTGTATGTGTGTGCGTGCTTAATTATTTCCAGCATAGCCTTAAAAAGAAAAGAAAGAGGAAAATTTATTTTTATACGCAAGCCATCAATGTGAAAAAGAAGGAAAATTTAAGGAAATTTTAAACAAACAAAATATACGATTTTACACGACGAAGCGAGATAACGTAAAGGTATACACGAATGACGAAAATAACAGACATAACAACAAAATAATAACAACAATAATAATAGAGAAAAGTACAGTTGAGCATTAGCTAGAATTGTTAGAAGAGCAGTCGAAGAACCTAATGAATTTTGGTGCTTTACATAGGTCAGGCAGACACCGAAGCTAATTTCCATATTATGCCCCAAAACAGAATTATATATATATTTACAAATATATATATATATATTTAAAGGTCACAAAATGTTTTCGAATTTTAAGTATAATGCTTCTTATACTATATAATCCACATATATCTAAACCATATAACGAAACCCATAACCGAACTATGCAAAAGCCGATTTACTATATATATATATATATATATATAGATTTCATTTGACCACAAAAACTTAGCATAATTTAAAATATATATACTTTTTTTTTGCTTTTTGTAATAGCAAAGTTTAGTACGTCGTACCTTTATAAATCAGCATATATATATATATATATATATATATATATATATATAATTTCAAGTCAAGTTTCTGTTAAGCAAAATGTATCCAAGGCAAAAATATATATGCGTTTATTCTCTGCTTTATCTAAGAGCATAAGCTCCTAACTATATAAACATATATATTTATGTATATACATATATATATATATATATATATATATATATATATATATATATATATATGTATATATATATATAAAACAAAAGGAAAATAACATATGGCAGATCAGATCGAAACAATAATATTACAAAGTTCATTTCAACAAGATGACAATTTAATTGTTTACACAACACGCACATAAAATGAAAATAAAAACAAAAAGATACAGATACAAATCTATCTGACAGATACTTTTGCATATGTTGCTGTGTTGACCTAATGACAATTTTTCTTATTCTCAAACTCTTAATTTTTGTTTGTTTTTTTTTTTTTACTTTTGGAATTTGATGTAATGCAAACATATATATGAAAATGTATTTTAAATACAATCAATTATTATTAAATCATTTAAAAGCAAACTAACTATTACAAATAGATAACAAGAAGAATATCTGTGCGTGTTTAAAGCCACAATATATTGATTTTAATCACAAGAATTTAATAAATATATAAATAAAGTATAAACTATAAAAGAAAACGAAAAGCGCATACAAATTTGTGTTTTATTCCACACATCTAGGTATAGCTATATCTACATCTATATCAAATCTTTCAACTCGTCTGGTCCTCAACTCTGGCATAGCTAATTAGTTGGGACAGGCAGCATATTGTTTAATTATAGAAATAGAGTCATTATAAAAGCGAACTCGTTGCAGATACGCATCGAGCTCACCTGTCGTCAAGGCAAGTTAACGCACGCATCTGTAATTAATTAACAACAATCCGGAGAAAATGTCTTGCATATAAAATTGAAAAATACGTTACATGCAGTTGGAGCGAGTGTCGCAGCACCAAGCTTTGATTTACTCACAAATTCGATACACCCAATCTATTGTTATCGATAGCCAAATGCAGCCCTAAGTTACTGAACGAAAGCGAATCTCGGCCGAATTCCAATTTGAATTAAATATGTATAAATTAATGATAAATTTATGTGGAATATACATATATTGTTCATATATTTTTTCTTCTTTAGAACCGTTCTTATTTTTTCTTCAATTAAACCTAATACTCTACAGATCGCCCAAGTTGCCCAGACCACCAGTTTCCGGGCCAAAACGTGCCTTGTCCTGACTTTCGGTCCAAGCCTTGGCAATCAATTGCTTAGTCTTTGAATCGCCGGAGTTATACATTTTCTTCATTATGTTGACCAATGCGCCCTCGGGGTTATCACTATCCTTAGATAATTCACTATCCTGCTTCTGTTTCAAACGCTTCTGTATGGACGTCAGCACATCCCAGTTCTGACCCTCATCTACCTTCTTCAAATATATCGCAACCATGTCCGTCTTTAGCTTCCGATAGCTTTTCTCAACATCAATGCCATAGAGCAGATTGTTGACGCTCAGACCAAAATCTTTGCCATTCAAATCGCTCACGTGCAGCTGCAGCGAGTGCTCCGTGTAGTTAACAGTGACTGCCTCCTCCGCACAGTTCTGTACACCGGGTAGCGTTATGAACAGCTTAATGAATTTGGGGCTCTGATCCCAGCCGTAGTCCGTTAACTCATGTAGATATCTGTCAAGCATATTTCAGTTTATACACAGCTAGCAAAAATATCAAAATGATTCCATACCGCTTAGTCTCTGCACCCGCTTTACGTTCGGCCGCCAAGCGTGCTTTTATCTCTAGGTTAATAATTTCGCGTTCTGCCTCAGCCTTCGCCTGGGTTAAGGCGCCTTTTACACGCGCACTTTTCGCTTGCTCCAATAATGCAACGCACTCAGCGACATCGGCCTTCAACTGTGGCAAACGGCACGTGTTTACGTTATGAATACTTTAATGCTTCATTATTTGTGTACTTACTTGTTCCAGTGACATTCTGCTACAAATTAATAGGTGTTAGACGTCGATTATAATTTGTGCAACCGAATCGTAGAAGCTTCGAGCAATAATGACGCCGGCTTATGGATGTGTCCTCTCAACTTATCGATATTTAAAGATTCGAGCTGTAACTCACGATATTTCTCACGGCATTTATAAATGCTGAAATACTAAATGAAAAATCACTTATCGATTGTCAGTGAAAATCGAAACGGTTATTTGCAACTTTTTACTGGCAATGCTGCAACGTAACGGTGCTTTTCCAGTTTTGCATCAGTTTGTTAATTGCTCTAATAAAAAATATGAGTCTGCAAGACGAAAGCTTTCCCACCGACGAACTGTTTGACAAACTAAACGCCACCACAGCCAGCGATGGCAAAAGTCCTAGTTTTCAGCGCCAATATAGCTTGTGCTTGGGTCTCGATGTGGCCGATAACATTGAGCGCCAAGCGTCGCCATTTTTAAACAGCGACTGCTCAGAAAAAACGTGCGCCAGCGATCCACTCGGCATGGAGCACACTGAAAGCGGTGCTAAGCGTAGTGAGTAACTGGATGAGTGCTAAGATAGACATTCCATGTTCATACATTTTATTACAGACAACAATGGGGTTACCGATGCGCACCTACAGTTGGGCAGTGGGCGCAGCAATAAAGCAATTTCCTATCAGGATATCCACACGGCATACACGAAGCGAACGTACAAGCACGTGACGAGTAAAGTGAGCAAATACATTGCGGACATACACGATCAGGAAAAACAACGTCGCAATTCAGCTGGCTCATTTCAAAGGCATCGCTCGATGCCCGAATCTCTGACGCCCCGAGGTGGCACTGACGATCAGCAAAAAATAGATCATTCGCTCTCGTTGGCCAACAGCAGCAGCACAGATACACAGATACGTGATGAGAGCTACGAACGTTTAATCAGCGAAAAAGATCACTTGCAGTCGTACAATGATTATCTAGAGAGCAGGCTCTACAAGAAAATCAACGATAATCTTGTCTTACGCAAGAACTTTGAGGTCATACGGACGGAATTAACCGATTGTAAGGACAAGTTAAAACGTCAAGCAGTTGGCCCAGCAGCTGCCCATTCGCTGCGATCCCTCATGTATTGTCCACCCAATGAGAGCGTCGCCACACAAACTGATTTGCCAGCACTCTCCCACTTATCCAACATTTCGAATATGCCCGCTATAGCGGCTAATGCAACACCGCATCCCGTTACAAATCTGAATGACATCACATATGATAGCAGCGTCGGTTCTATTGAGATACCGCTGCTCAGCGTACAGCCGGCCGGTCACCAGCTAAAACTGACCAAATCGGTGAAGAAGAGCGGAATCATAAAGCGTCTTTCTCTAAACTTTAGCAGCGATAGCGCCGATGTTGATGCCAAGGGGCAAGCTTTAAGTATTACTATATATCTACAAATAAAATAATGAACAATTAATAACCATTAGCTTATTATAGCTGGTCTTGAAGTTGGCGTTAACATGCAACCAACTGGCTCAAATGACATCCCCACAAACCACTCGCGTAGCAGCCATCCTAGCAGCAATGACTCGGCCATTGAGATTGAGGGTAACGAGCTGCGTTCGCCGCACCAAGCCAATTTTGGACCTGGAGTGGACATGCGGGAGTGGGAACAGCGCCGGGGATTGATTTACTTTGACAAGCACAGGAATCGGGTCTTTGAGCTAGTGCCACTCAATCAGCACGAGTCGAGCAACAGCAGCTCAATCAACCAGAGTCAGTTCAGCATGCTACAGTACACGGCCAATACGAACTTTGGCCAAAGGAAGAAATCCCTGGCTACTCGTATGTTACGTCTGTTGGGACCCTGTGCCCGTTGCGACGATCCCAATCAGATCGATACCAGCACAGCCACATATACAGTGGGTATACCGCTGTTGGCCAATGAGTCAGGACGTTGAATTTTCATTATTTATTGTATTTTTATGTTTGCGCAGGCGTTTTTCTTTTCTTCCTCTTCTGTTTTAACTATTTGCCAAATGCATTAGTGTATTTTTATGTTTTAGTCAACATTTGTAATTATGTATGCCGTATACTCAATAATTTCCATGTAATGTAATAATTTTTTTCTGTATGCATTTTTAGTTGTAACTAAGTGTCAGTTTATCAATTGTATCATTCATAATTATTAAAATTGAATTGCATGCTTAAATTTGGCGGCATTCGGCAAACAAAGCTATCGATAGGCAACGCTGAAGTCGAACAATATACGATATGCCAATGTCGGCAACACTGTTCCCATCAGCTGGTCGCCATTTGTCGCCGTCGTCGAATTGTCAAAAGATTGCAATGGCCTGCCAGGCATAGACTAAGTAACTTGATCAATGGTCGCATTTAAATTAAATGGTACGGAAAGTTCGAGAGACAAACAAAATAAGTCCCGCTGATATTCGCCAGAAAAAACATCGCTCTGCAGAGGCGAGTGACAGCGGGAGCGGCAGCAACAGAGACGAAGCCAAACGGAATCAAAATTGACTGAAAAATAAAAAAAAGTAAGCGATTCAAATTTTGCCTGCTAGAAAGGCAAACAGCGGCCTGTGTGCCAGTAATAGTACAGCGCTCAACAATTTCATTTGGCACAAATAAAAACTTATTAAACAAATTTTCAAAATTATAACAGCAAAATTAATAAGATTCAATTTTATTCGCAAGTTCGGACAAAATTTCCATGTATTTATAGAAAAAAATTTAAAAAAGGCCATTCCACCTAGACGCAATAAGGCGGCAAACAAAAACACTACAGAGCTAAAAAAAATTTAAAGAAGTTTGTGATTTTTAAGTGCTGCCCATTTAAATAAATTGTTAACGCCAACTCGGGCCGATGCTGCTACTGATTGGGTTAACAAAACCTTCGAAATGGATAAGCGCTTGAACTCCGGCAACGGCCGCTGCGACAATGTTGTCGTGGCGGCTGCTCCAGCTACCAAAACATATCCACACGCTCAAAGGGTAAATAACAACAAAAACTTAACCAAACTAAAGCATACGCAACAGCAGCTGTCTACCAATACGATACAAACAACAAAAACGGGAGCAGCTGCAGTTGATGGCAACTCGAGTCCAAAGTTGGCAGCCACATTTCAAGGAATGAGCGTGAATGTGCAGCCAAGTGCAAGCAGAGGCATGCACTCTTGGCCGCGGCAGGACGAGCAGACGGTGCAAGCAACAACTGCAGCGATTTCAGCTGCACGCGCTCGGGCAGTAGCCGACGTAACCGCTGCTCCAATAGCACCGACAAATATAGTTAATAGTAAGCAGAGTAACAACAACAATTATAACAGCATTGTTAAACTACAAAAGCATCCGTCAGTGTTGGCAATCGCCGAACAATATGCAACAATTGCGGCGAGTTACAGGACGAAGCCGCGCAACAAGAGCGACGGTAAGGCAACCATTTTGAATTTCTATTCCTTTTTTATGATGGCAGCACTGCATATTTACTGTGTGTGTGTGTGTATGTGTGTGTATGTTCCTATTCAAATCTATTTTTATACATTAGACAGAAAGAAAGAGAGAGACAGAGGGCAAGTGCTGCCAGATTTAACAAAAGCTGCCATTTTGTTATTAATATTGATGATTTCAATTTGCAGAGGCTATCAACGATCTCCTGCAGCGCATACCCGATATTGCACAAATATTTGATGTACAGAGTCGGATTGGTAATGGAACATTCAGCACTGTGCTCCTGGCGACACTCAAACGGGAGGCACAGCTGCCGGACAATATGCGGCGCAAGTTTGCGATCAAACATCATATACCCACCAGCCATCCGGATCGCATTATGAAGGAGCTACAATGCATGACAGACATGGGGTATGTCAGACTCTATCCAATATTATCGATACGAAAATTCATAACTGCAAATTGCAAGATAAACGTAAATAATTTCTCTGCATTCGTGTGAGAGTCATGTGTGCGTGTGTATATGTGTGCCGCCTTTTCACTGAAAGAGCGTCACGAACGACGTCAGCCGGTTGCCGTAGACGTCTCTTCGATTCTACGTGCCAACGGCACATACGTCATTGCAATTTATTTCAAGTTGCTGTTGCTGTTGCCTTTGCCGTTGCCGTTGGCGTTCCCGTTGCCATTGGTCTGACGTTTATTGCACTTTCACACACCATTCACGTGCCACCTTCTCAGTTACATGGTCGCCAGCCTCTCTTTTCCTCGTTCAGTCACTCGGATTTGCCAATTATTTCTCGTGTAACGTTTGTTTACAAATCATGCAAGCAATTTCATATAGATTTAAACACACACATACGTATGTATGTATGTATGTATGTATGCACACTTATATGAGTGTCTTATACACATAAGATGTACATATGTATGTCTATTAAGATCACTGTCATCTACGCAAAGTGGAATTGTTATTGCTAGTTTAAATATCCTTCCATGACCTCCCAATAAGTATCGATTACAGTGACTGGGTACTTGCATATTATCGATACTAGTCGCTCTGCTTAGCTGAGATTAGATAAGCAATACACATATATGCGTGTATATCTGTGTGTGCGTGAGTATGTCTGATGATGTAGAAAAACCGTTCAATTCCGCTTTGAACTACCTTGGGCAAGGTTATCGCAAAAATATGCCTAAATACCGAATGGCAGCCGGCTTGATTTTCGACAGGGTTTGTTCTCCTCTGCTCTGCTCGGATTATTTATGTCCAACAGACGAGCAAGAGTAAGAGAGGGTGCTCAAGCTCAGTGGACTACGCTCTGCGTGGGTCGACAAGGTGGGCGAATGGTGGGGGTTGGCTGCTCTAAACATAACATTAGTCAGGCGGTCAGCCGGCCGGTTGTACAGCTATTGCTCCATCTCTCTCTCTCTCTCTCTCTCTCTCTCTCTGTCTTTCACTCTGTTGCTGTTCACATACGTATCTAATGCTGTGTATGTGTGTGTATTTCTATCCCTATCCATTCAATTTGCGCAAATTCCGTTGCCGAATTGCGTCACAGCGCTTAACAATTATGATTGGGGACGACGGGGATTTCGAGGCGTGCGCAGTGCTTGGCTAATAATCATTGCCATGACGTCGACCATCGACGTAGGCGACCCTCTCCAGCTACCACTGCAGGGCATAAGCTGTGCAGCCATTGACAATAGAATAGATGACCAGCTGAGCTCCTCTCGAGTTTTTCTCTTAATTGAATTAATACGAAATACACTTATTTATGAAGCTGTTAATAATAGAACGGGCGAGATTCGCCAAAGAATTTGCACATTAGCAAAATGTTAACCAACAAATGGCGTCACTTAACCCTTAGCGAACACTTGGGCTTCTTTTGCACCCATGGCACTTTACTGGATCGTGTATAAAGCAAAAATATTATATACCGACAGCCTTCGCTTGGGAATAGAGTATATCATAAATAAATAAATATATATATATATATATATATATATATATATATCTTCCACAATAATCAGTTCTTTACCCTCGTTTTGATTCTTTGCTTGAAGAAAAAGTACTAATGGCTCTTTATCAGCGCTCACGCCGATCAGTCTTTGATATGGGACTGTTCACAAGCTCTAATCCCTCAGCAGTCATCCGTAGCTCTAATCCAACCATCAATCAGCAAATCTAATATGCTATCTCTTTTCCTCCATAGAGGCACCGACAACGTCGTCGGCATCAACTGCTGTTTGCGCTGTGAGGCGTCTGCAGCGTTTGTGATGCCCTACATGCCGCACGATCGCTTCCACGACTTCTACACGAAGATGGAGGTGCCGGAGATTCGTTTGTATATGCGCAATCTGCTGTTGGCCCTGCGACACGTGCACAAGTTCAACATCATCCATCGCGATGTGAAGCCCAGCAATTTTTTATACAATCGTCGCCAGGGCCAGTTCCTGCTCGTCGACTTTGGGCTGGCACAACACGTCAATCTACCTGCCGGAACAGTAGCCGGCATTGCCGCACAACAACACCAGCAGCAGCAGCAACTGGCAGCCAACAGCAAGCGTCCGCGAGAACGTGAGCCACAGCAACATCAACAACAGCAGCAGCAGTTCTCCGCAACAGCAGCAGCATCCCCAGAGGCAACTCTCGGTGGCGCTGTGAAACGCATGCGGCTGATTGAGGAGACAAATGTCAGTAGCTGGAACAAGATGCCGCTGAAGCCTGTCAACGAAATAGCGCAGAGCGCCAAAGCTACCGGAGATCTGCCGCTCAATGATAGCAAACAGAATTTGACAGAGGTGAGCGAAGCTGCGGCGGCCGCAGCGGCAGCGGCAGCAGCGGCGGCGGCGTCGGCAGTGGTGTCAACAACCAGCACCACCATACAGCAGCAACAGGTGCCGGCGGCTCAGCCACAGCCAATAGTGTTGGTGCAGCAGCAGCAGCAGCAGCAGCAGCAGCGGCAGGAGCCTTCAATTGTCCCCACTGGCAGCGCCACTGGGGTAAAATACAATACGAATCGTACAGCTGGCGGCGGTGGCAACAACTCGAAATGCTTTTGCTTTGCAAATCCTTCCGTTTGCATCAATTGCCTAACGAAGAAGGAGGTGCATGCCTCGAGAGCGGGCACGCCCGGCTATCGGCCGCCGGAGGTGCTGCTCAAGTATGCGGATCAAACGACAGCTGTCGATGTTTGGGCTGCGGGCGTCATTTTTCTGTCCATACTGTCCGCCGTCTATCCGTTTTTTAAAGCGCCCAACGATTTTGTTGCCCTGGCCGAGATAGTCACCATCTTTGGGGATCGAGCCATACGCAAGACGGCTTTGGCACTGGAACGCATGGTCACCCTCAGCCAGCGATCGAAGCCATTGAATTTGCGTAAGCTCTGCCTGCGCTTTCGCAATCGCTTGATCTTCAGCGACCAGGAGATGGTGCGAAAGCACGAGTCACCCGATGGCCGGATCGATGTGTGCAAGAACTGTGATCAATATTTCTTCAATTGCCTCTGCGAGGACAGCGTCTACGTCACGGAGCCACTGGAGCCATACGAATGCTTTCCAGCGAGCGCCTACGATCTGCTTGGGCGTCTGCTCGAAATAAATCCCCATAAGCGTATTACCGCCGAGCAGGCGCTCAATCATCCGTTCTTTACCATGGAGCAGATGACGCCTGCACCGCCCGCACCAGTTGTACCGTTGGCTCCTCCTGCTGCCGTTACTCCAGCTGCTGCTGCACCATCGCTCAAGGCAGCTGGCAAGCAACAGACGCGCAGGCGCGCTACCAAAAATGGGACGCCACAAAATGTTGCGTCCAATCCTGAGCAACAGCAAAAGCAACCAACTCTAAACAAACTGTGAAAACTAGTCGAAACAGAACCCGTTTATACAAACTCCTCTAGAACTTATGATATAGATATATATATATATATTTTTTTTTTTGCAAACAAAGCCAGTGGCAAACGTAGTCGTATATACATATGTATATATACTCACACACGCGGAAATATAGGCGCACTTACACATAAATACATATGTATATACACTCACGCATGAGCGCACTTACACACACATACAAATGCAACACACACAGAACAGTTTACACTTGCATCCAAATGACACCATGTATATACAAACGCACACTCTCTAATACACACATACACACACACACATGCACAGACACACTGCCCCAGTTATCATCCTGGTTCCATGCATATCATCCATATACACAGAGGATTACAAAAGAAAAAAAAACAGTAAAGCAAAGCAAATAAAACATAAATACTTAAATTAGTCGTCCAACGGTCGCAAAACTTAAAACAAATAAAAACAAAAACAATTATTTACATAGAGAAACAAAAGAAATCACATACCTCATTATTGTTTTTAGCGTTGTCATTATATATACTCAAGATCCAAATCGAAATCCGTTCGCTTTTCGGCTAAAATCAATTTTATGTACACCAAAAATACATACATTAAATTTACACTAAACATAATGAAAAATTTGTTTTTTTTTGTAACCATCAAACCAAATGCAAAACACGTAAATGGACAAAATAGCTTATAAAACTGCAAATTTAGTACTTAAAAGCAACAGAACAAAAGAGAAAAGGAAGAACCGCATCTAATTCTGTTTCAATATAACAGAAATTGTAAATTGTTAAATATTACTCGAATAACTCTTAGTTTGTATATATTATTATAGAATGTGTACATATATGCATAAGCGATCCACGTCTACAGAAAACAAATATATTTATACCGTACAATTTGTATAGAATGAAAAGAAAAGAACAATTTGTGCTTTATTTAAACGTAATGGAAAATATTAGCTTGGAAAGTTAAGCCCGAATCCGACGACGAACTACACTTATAATTAAAGCCCTGCCTTAGTTCCTGTTTCAATATGCATAACATAAAGGAAGTTGGACAGGCCAATATGTGCTTTGGTGATTTGTAGTCCTGGTTTAATGCCTGCACTAATCTCCTTGTTTAAAAGTAATAGAGAAAACTATAAAGGAATTTAACATTCGTTAATTATATTTTACATACATTTTGTAAAGAAAAAAAATAATTAGGTATTTATCTATCGAACTAGTAGATCCTTAAGTGTCTCCATGATTTCCCATTGGTTCAGGTCTCCATTTTCTTGGTTCTCTTTCGCGTCACCTTTGTGGACGTTGTGGGCGCTTCCTCTTCCATGGCATTGCTGTCTTCGGGCTTCTCCTCCACTTTGATGCGTTTGCCAGCCCTAGCTTCATCCTTGCTGGGTTGTGTCTCAATGACGCGCTTTTTTGGCTGTTTGAAGCTGCCGCGGCCAGCCGCCCGTTCCGACTCCTCGATGCTGTATGGCTCCGTTTCGAGTGCCTTGAGACGTCGCTTGTGCACCTTGGTGCGAAAGTGCGCCTGCATGGATCTGTCGTCGATGAAGTACTTGGCGCAGTGGACGCAGTAGAACTGTGCAAAGCCCGGTTTATCTAAGTCAACGTTCTGGTTAATCAGCTCGCCGCTGCGTGTGCGCATATCGTCGTCAATCTGGTCAAGGTCTCTACGCCGGTTGCGCACACGCCAACGACGCTGTAGATGTGTGTCACCATAGTGCATCTTCTTGCGCTTCTGTACCATACCCATCCTAAGGCGTTTGTGTTATTACAATTGAAAATAAAAAATGAGGGAATTCGCTTTGATTGCAAATATTTGCTGCACGTGGTATTTGTTTTGATCTTTTGGTCAGAGCGTGCAACAGCTGCTGTAAGAATTATATGCTATAAATATATTCACAGAAAAAATGATTTGAATTAGTTTTATAAACATAGAGTACTTGATTTATTGACACACCTTGTTTAATAAACGTTTTTGTCTTTATTTTTCCTTATTTACTGCGTATAAATAGTTGACAAACTAAATCTGTTAGGTATACACTTGCTAGCCGCTATTGTATGTATCAGTGTGTACACACTAACCTCTGGCTAAGCTGATAACACCTGTGCACACACTTCACAGCTGTTTTTATTTATTTAATGCGTTTTGCAATCATTGTTATGTATTATTGAATTACATTTAAAATGCATTCACATTTCATACATTTTTGTATATAACGTGAATATTATATTTTTTATTACGTTCATTCTTACCTATTCGATATTTAAGAGTAAGACAAAAAAATATACTCGATTGCAAAGAAGAATCGATTAGTGGATCGAAAAGCTCAACAATCGTTTTCCCAATGATGGTGCTATGAAGGAAGGAGAAACTTTAATCGTGCGAACTAGTTGTCTGCGGGCGGACGTGCGCATTTTTTGGTTTATTTTTTATTCAATACCGATACGGCGAAAATAAGTAAATAATAAAAGTATTATTAAATAAACAATAACTCAATTTCTGTGCAATAATGCAATAAAGTTGTGTTAAGACATTGTCGCACAAATCACTAAATGGAAACATGTTTCTTTGATATGTGATTAAATAACGCTGCCAGTGCGGTTTCTTGCTATAACATTTATTAAATCTTTTTTCTTGTTATGTTATGTTTGTGCATTCAATGAATAAAGTGCTGGAAATGTTCGCATTATTGTTATGCTAATGGATTCGCCAACTGTGACATCGCCGTTGTCGTTGTCAACGACGGTTTTGATTGTTCAATTATGCCGTTATGAACAGCTGTTCTGATTGTGCATCGCTCTCTCCAATGCTGCAAGCACGGACGGCATGCGAATTGTCAAACGATAATTTGACTGCGATAAATACGACTGACTATATAATTGCGTGTGTGTCGTGTGTGTACGTGCAGGCTTATTCAAACAGTGATTACACTCCCGAAAAAAAGAAAAATAATAACATGTATCGTTTATTTATTACCGATTTCTGTTTCAGCTTTGCACATTCCGTTGATTTTTTTATATACCGGCTTATACTTGTTTGCATTTGAATTTGCAATTGTTGGCGCAGCAGTCAAGTGTAGTGCAGTAAGTATAAGTATTTATTCATATATACAATAACATATGTAATTGTTGCTGTAGTTGCCTTCATTTAGTACATACATACATACTTATCAACAAATAAAAGAACGTGCGGAGCCAGTTTATCAGTTGCTGCAGCTCCGTTCGTTAATCAGTCGATTTGCCTTTAACTGTTATATGCATGCACACACTGACAATAATCACGTGCGTGTGTGTGTGCGATTGTTGGTATTTAAATCTGTTTCTTTTTTGGCTTTTTGTTTTTGCTTTGTGATCGATTTCGAATTTAGATCGCATCGTGCAATATTTGCAATTGTCTCGCAACTTGAATGTAGCGCGCGCTGTGACGTAACAATACACACACACATGCATACTCATACACATAGACACGAAGCGAACTCACTCCCTGCTATGTCTCTACCTCTTTCGCTGCACAGTCGTGCGCGTGTATTTGTACATGAACGCACTAACTAACACATGCAGCAATCGCAGTCTTCCCCCTGTCAGCTGTCAAAGAGTTGCTCTCTCTCTCTCTCGCTTGCTCTCTTTCTTCAGCGCTCGCTCTCGCTGCTCTAAAACAAGTTTTTACATGCACAGCGATTATGATAGCGACTACAATTATTTGCTATGCGATGCACAATAGATCAAAAGGAGAGCACTTTAAGTTTCGCTAGAAATGATAAATACCTGGATAAATGTAGAAGAATCATGAATTCTTCTATATTTGTATTTATTGTTTATATATATGCAAATAATAGCTATGAGCATAATGCTGCGAGTTAGTTGCTAATGAAGTCGCTAATGTATCCAGCTGAAAGCGAAAGTCTTTTGTGTGTAAAACCGAGACAACAACAACAGCAACACAAGGAACGGGTATTTGAATGTCCGTTAGCCATTCGCCTTTCAGCAGATCTTCGAAACCTCACGAAGATTATTGCGCAATGGCGCGAATGGTAAATGTTAAATGGTAACTGGTAAATGACAAACTTACCAGTTGGAAAATAGTTGTTAATTAAGTAGCAAATGTAATTAGTTATTATTTAGCTTTAGCTTGTAGTTTTTGGTCGACTTGTGTAACTTTGATTTGTCAAAATTTGGCTAGCAAAACAAATTCTTTTTGATATTAATTATTATTATTATTTTTCTCGATTGGTTGACTTTGTTGTTTTTTTTTTGACTGGGCAAAATAGTGACGAGAAAATGTGGAATAATAATAGTAATAAAGCGACAAGAAGTTTTCTAAATGAGCCGAATAACAATAGTAGTTCGAGTATAGATTTTGATAATGATAATGATAAGGAAAACGATCTGCCGATTGATATGGTCCGTGGTGCCATTGATGCCATATTGAAGTCGCAGACTGCCATCAAGCCGGCAGTGCTGAATCCGTTCAATGTATCGCACGATGAGAGTGTGAAGGCCGAGGAGCTGAAGGGCATCATCGAGTTCCACTGCATTGGCAATTCGTTGACGAAAGAGATCGATAAAGAGACGATGATCTTCCTGCTCGCTCTCCAATCGATATTCGGGCAACAGCTGCCGGAGATGCCGCCCACATACATAACCCGACTGCTGTTCGATCCCAAGCACAAGACTATGGCATTGGTTAAGAAGGGCCAGGCGATTGGTGGGATCTGTTTTCGCTTCTTTGCCACGCAAGGATTCGCTGAGATCGTGTTCTGTGCGATCGCCATGCCGGAGCAGGTGAAAGGCTACGGCAGCCATTTGATGAATCACTTGAAGGACTACATCCTACAGAATGGCATTCAGCACCTGTTGACCTATGCCGATTGCAATGCCATTGGCTATTTCAAGAAGCAGGGCTTCTCGGACACCATACGCCTGGCGCGTCCCATCTATGAGGGTTATATCAAGGAGTACGACAGCGCCACTCTAATGCACTGCGAGCTCCATCCAAGCATTGTGAACACCCAATTCACATCGATCATACGCCAACAAAGCGAAATCCTCAAGGAGTTGATTGTGCAGCGGCAGAAGGATGTGGAAAAAGTGCGACCCGGTTTGACGTGCTTCACGCAGGGCATCGCCTCCATACCGATCGCATCGATACCCGGCCTCAAAGAGATCGGCTGGCAGCCGGAGCTGCTGCCCGCACGTGTCGAGGAACTAACGGATGCCGCTCATCTATCGAGTCTCTTCGATACGGTGCTGCAGTCGCTGCGTCGCCAAGCCTCCGCCTGGCCCTTCCTGTCGCCCGTCAATGCCAAAGACGTGCCCGACTACTATGTGCATATCAAATACCCCATGGACCTCAAGACGGTGGGTGAGCGCCTCGAGCGCGGCTACTATAAGACGCGTCGCCTGTTCATGGCTGACATGGCGCGCATCTTTTCCAATTGCCGCGACTACAACTCGCCCAATACCGATTACTATCGCTGTGCCAACACCCTCGAGCGGCACTACCTGAACAAGATGCGTCAACTCGGACTCATGGACAAGTGAAACATCGTTCGATCGATCGATCGACCATGATGACGCTGATGAATCAGAGTAACAGTTCTTTCCACTTACCTTGTAATACTCAAATGCTAGTCACAACTAGACTTTTGTAAAGCGCGAACACACACACACACACACATACAGAGAGAATAAGAAACTAATACTAACAAATGAATCTATAAAAGTTTAAGTTTTCTTTTTAGTTTGTCGAGCATCTGCCTTGGCACAGACAGAAGCTAGGAAAGTGTGAAAAATAATGAAATTTATTCTTTTCTTTATATATTCTGTGAATATACTCTAGATCTATCTAACATATTGTTAGTTTATTTTCTGTTTTTTTTTTTTTTTTATATGTTCAGTAAATACAAGAAATATATTTAAGTTTTTATCTTATTTTATATTTTGTGAAGAATCAAGTTGAGTTACAAATTAAACTTTATAAAGTATACATCGAGAATATTTAACTCAGTATGATGGGCCGTTAGGGATGTATGATTTATGTTTATACTATCTGTATGTATTATGCGAGTGTGTGAGTAATCCATTAACTGTATTATCATATCTTATCATAGATCTACAGATGTTGCTAGGGCAATCCATGTGCCGCTCTTAGCCAAGTAGGTTCTCTAATAAGTAATATGCATGAGAGGTTTTCGGAACATATGGAGCATAGCTTTAAGCTCTTCGGATCAATTGTGGCCAGCAGGCGGCCAACTCGTTGGGCCAGTTGAACGGAGCTCGACTGGCGTCAAGGTGAACCTCTATTGAGCGCGCTCGCATTGGAATAAGCCAGCATACATAATGCCGTTATGGGCCATAAGTGATGGACTTGTATATATATATATTCCTATATAGGGTGGGGTCAGTGCAAAGAGAGAGGGAGTGGGGGAGACACAAAGAATGTGGTTTACCGTTTGGATTTGCTTTCAAATCATGAGCGCGTTTTGCACTTGCTTTTTGGCTTATCTTTGTTAAAGAGAAAAACAACAATGTATAAAAAACAAATAGCAGCTGGTTTTTATACTCTTTTTGTTTTTATTGCGGTTGCTTTGTTGTCACAGGCGATAGTCGCGTATATATATACACACACATGATTCTTAAGACAAGTTCGACTGGACAAAGGGAAAAACAAATGTTGCGATTGGGCTGGCCACTAGTTTATTATGTATTAAGGGATATACCCTGCAAGTAGGGTATATTGACGAGTATATCAGCTTCTCTAGCAGCGATTGCCGTAGATGATGCTAGCTGGCTGCAAATACCTAGCAAACTTCGCCTATCGATAGCAAGCTATCGATATAATGCTTTTGGCTATGTCTGAAATCATACAGGGTATCCAATAGTGGGGTCAACCCACGCATATTCAGTACCTTTGTGAGTTGGCTCTGTCTGGATGCCTCTCGACCTTAGCCCAGAGCCGGATGAAGACGGAGTCACGTGCCTCAGTCACTCACCCGACGCAGCGGGCAGGTTCGACGTGGAGATTATTCTGCGCATTAGCTTTGGTAATTCCACATTTGATTTTAACAAGTCTAATTGCAAAAGCGAAAAGAGATATTTCATATGAAGTAGCTGGAAAAACCGGATTCTCGAAACTGGGGCCAGCTACGGCGACGGTGACGGGGCTGGAGCAGCCGGAGGCGTGGCATGAGAAAGAAAAGTAGGTAATTCCTAAAAAGTTATAATAAAGTAATTTCAGACACGGCTGTCGAGAAACAGAGCGATAGCGAGAGAGGGAGATGGAGAGAGTGTAACTCATGCATTGCTTATCGCTTAAAGCAATGGAATCTGAGAAAGAGAGAGAGAGAGTGGGAGAGAGAGAGTGGGAGAGAGATCGAGTGCGGAGCGATTTAATACGTCAGACTAAATGGTAATTCCCATAGCTCAAAGCCATTATAAATAACTAACTATATGGCCTTTAAGCATTGCTAGTTTAGGTACAGTGAAAGCGCGCTAAAGCAGCTGTCGGAACAGTCTAACTGCATTAATACTATTGATAAAGGCGACAAAGCTGTTCATTGCATAGATTATTCTCTGTATCCATGCCTATTATATAATATACACACATACATAGTTGCATATATGGCACCCACTATATATATACCGTCTGATATTTGTAGTCGGGCATAAAGCGTTAATTGCTTCTAGTCCCCCTCCATAAAGCTGAGAGTGGAAGAACGATGGGAAGAGCCACATAGCCAAAGGTGAAATACTCTGCTCATATATAACTCATATGCTCGATACTGTAAAAGCTAAGGTATTCCTAAGATAATGCTGCTGATCACAGAAATCGATTAACTTTGAAGTGAAGTCCCTACGACTTCTCATAGACTGTGCTGTTGTTGCTGATCAGAATAATATAGCCAGATGGTGTCATACGCCCGGCAGGAAGGGTATCTCGAGCAGCAGAGACCACAGACAATCGAAACACGCCAAATGCAGCCTTATCATTCATTTGCACTGATATGCGCACATGTGTGTGTGTGTGTGTGTGAGTGTGTGCGGTCACAGACCACAAACAAACAAATAAACAAACAGCAGAACAAGTGTAATGCCTCAATCTGAAACATTTTTACCGCTGCAGTTGCCCCCGTTTCACATATGAGAAACATTGCAAAATAAATACACAAAAGTTGATGCGACTATTGCGGCTGAGTGTGATAAAGAGCGTGATATGGAATAGTATGATAAACTATATACTATATGCCATACACTCTGTACTATATATGCGCGCATGACAAGGTTCAGAAGGGGAGGACGACGCCCGAGTCCGATTAGTCGAGCAAGTGCAGTGCAACGGTTTCAACCTCAAAGTAAAAACGAAAGTGAAATTTTTTTCTTTTTTTTTTTTGACAAAGGACTATCGTGCTGTATGTTATCGATAACAACAGAAGTTATCCTTTATTGTGTTCAAATTACAGTTAAAGCAGCGTAGCATTGAGGAGAAAGTAGTGTATAATTACTTTGGGCATGGCCTCAACATTCGATAATTATCAGCTGTGTTATCGAACAAGATAATTAAACGTGTTTTGCAGCAGCATGGAGAAGTTAACAAGGCAAAACTTCCTGCAACTTATCTTACGAGATATGCTGCTTACTCTACACTTACACATGCTCTATATGCAATTGCCAAGAGAGTATACTGGTTCACATGTAGTCGATATGCAATTGAAGCTGACTGGCAGTAGCAATCAGCTCTAGGCAATTTTATGTGATATATAAATAGTTCTATTTGTCTACATGGGGCACAAACTGCTTAAACATAGATTAATAGAAATTTGTAACGGAAAACCGAGCTGAAATTACATTCGGATACTCCCTATGACTTCAGCTATTTGAGATTTATGCTACTTAAGAACTTCAATAAATCATAGAGCGTGCCATGTCCAGTCTAAGTGATACTAACGAATATTAGTTTTACTATTAGTTCGATTTTCCTTTACCAAAAATCGGATTATATATCTTGGAGATATCGTTTATTGAATAGCTATATCTATATCTAGAGCTCCTTTGCACCTCATCTATCTATCTCTTTCCCACACTATATATTTCTCTCGCTCTCTATCTCTCTTTATGTCTCTCTTTCTTTCCCTTTGTCCCTCTTTAACTCTTTCTCTCTCTCTATCTCTCTCTGTCTCTCTCTCTATGTCTATATCTCTTTCTCTCTATCTGTCTCTCTCTCTCCCAGTCGCCAAAGTACTTCGTTTAAATTTGTAGACAAACTTAAAGCTGACAGCTTAGTCAATTCTGCCACGCAGCCTTTCTCTCCTCTCCCCCGCTCGCCCTGCCTCGCTTTCATCCAGCTTCCCTACGCACGCACAGTTATGCTGAGATATTTCAATTCATTTGAGTGAATGCCGCAGGAATTTGTGACCTTTGTCTGTGGAGCTCTAAAGCGCAAATGGGGCGTGGCTGGGGCAACTTTCTAAGCTCATTTCAAATGAACAGCGGGTGAAAGGTGGCAGCAGACAAGCGGACAAGCAGACAATATATATATATATATATATATATATATATATGTAGATATACGCATATATAGAGATAAATCGATTGTGTTTTTTGGACAGCTGCTGCGTCATTTGATTGCTGGAAGTGAATGAATTACTTTCTAGCTGCCAATAGACAATTGATGGAACGACGGGTGATCGCACACATAGCCCAGATTCGTAATTGCGCTATGCGAAAATGGAATGAAGGTGGCGAGGTCGTACAGTAAAGTAACAGTAAATGAAGTTGAATGCAAACTGTGTGAATTCCTGATCGATAACCACAGCAAGCAGCCAGAAGAACTCGAGCTGTCTGAGTATGTAATCCAGTCGCTTCTCTGATCTGTTTGATAACTCTTCGTGTCTGCTGACAATCGATAAATATCGTTTCGTTCTACATAAGTTGCATAATAATCAAAATTAAAGTTTGTGAACTTGTCATAAGTATCGATAATTATCGTAATATCGATTGAGATATTAAAAGCTATTGGAACTTAAGTCTTCAGCAAGGCAGGGCAGTCGAGCATGCTCGTTCATCACATACTCCTTGGCTAAACTTTCGTATTACATTTGACTTTCGCCGCAGCTCAGTAAACCCTAAGGAACGGACAGAGCAGGAGAAGCAACTGGCCAAATGGATTCACACGCACATCACAGCGCACCCACTGTTGGTGAGTAGACGCCTCGGGTGCTGCCAGAAATCGTGGCTCATCATATATATATATATATATATTCGTGTCTAATCCGTGGTAGAACTGATAGATCATTCCATGCACGGGCACGATCATGCGAACATGCATCACGATCACGACCATATGGGACTGGCGGCCACCACGCTGACGCCGCCTCTGGCGACGACCCACGGCGATCTATCGATGGGCGTGCATGCGGGTCATCATCATGGCGGCGGCGGCACCGGCACCGGCATGGAGCACATGATGTCCATGGCGGTAAGCATGGAAGCCAAATTCATGTAAAGACAAAAGAGATTCGAATTAAAATCGTATTTTTGTGTCTTTTTGTGCTGTGTCCAGTTTCACTTTGGCTACGATGAGACCATTCTCTTCTCGTGGTGGCACATCGAGACGGTAGCTGGTCTGATTGGCTCGATGATAGCCATTTTCCTGTTGGCGCTGCTTTACGAGGGCCTGAAATATTATCGCGAGTATCTGTTCTGGAAGACGTACAATCTGCTCGAGTATCGGCCCGTCACGGGACCCCAGCGAAATCCAGAGGCGCCGCGTCTACCAACGCCCGCCGCTGCTGCCCCATCGCCTGTGCAGTGAGTATCCCGTATAGCGTAGCTTGATAATTGTTGATTGTGGACCGGAGACCGAATATTACAGATCGAAGATTGTTGATCAAAGATCATTGACCGAAGATCGTAGATAGTAAACCGAAGATCAAATATCGAAGATTCTAGATCACAAATCGGAGATCGAATGTTGTATATTGAAGATCAGAGATTGAAGATCGAAGACTGCATGACGAAATTCGTGAATCAAAGGTCGCAGATCGAAGATTAAAATTCCATAATTATAGATTGAAGATCGATAACAGTGTATCGAAGAATATGGATATCTTAAACGTCCCAACTGGAAGATTGTAGAAAGAATAACGTAGAGATCGAAGATTGAAGATTAATGACTGTATAAAAACAAAAATTGTAAATTGTAGATTAAAGATCGTAGATCGAAGATCGATATTGTAGCTTGTAGCCTGCGTAGATCGAATACGAAATATTATACATCTATGATTGTAGATCGAAATCTGTAGATGAAACAGAGAAGAGCAAAGATCAAAGTTTGTATATCGACTATCGAAGGTCAAAGATCGAAGATCCCCATATCGAATATCGTTTGTGCTTGTTCTGTTTTGTTTGTGAGTTGAAATGCATGTGACTGTGCTGATTTTTTCCTTGTAACTCTGTATATACGTACATCAATATATTAATATATATAGTCTAATGCTCTTTATATACCACATAAATTTTTCTCTCTTTCTCTTTCTTTCGTTTTCGTTGCCGTTTACCGTTTACCGTTTTATATGCGTCTCTTGTGTGTATCATACGCTTTTCGCCTCTGCGCTCATCAACTGTATCATAAAACAAAATAAAAACCAAAAATATCATAAACAAATCAAATATCGCGCGTGCTTTCATGTAAATTATGCTCTTCATCTTATAAATATTCGCAAAACTGTAAAACCCAAAATAATCCTATATCTCTAAATTTAATCAATCATGAAATCTTACGTTTCCGATTTGATAACGATAACGATAACAATTTGATATTGATTTCCCCCATCTGTATACGTACACCCACCCACCCACACATACACACACACACACACATACACGCAACCGTTACCCGTTTACCGTTTACTGTGCCCACGCCTCAAATATATATATATCTATATATATGTATATGTATATGTATATCTATATATATTCATGCCCCCAGATACGTTGGCGAAGTTGTGCACAAGCAACCGTAAGTATCCCAATATTCCCGCTACCCCTTTTTCACCCAAAATCCTATCCAAAAATCTAGCCCGTATTACGATTATAAGTCATATGTCTTTCAGTGTATCTGATTACACCCTATATACGATATTATTGTTTGCAAATCCAATTAACTCTCTTTCGCTCTTCGTACCAACTTTTTTATGATCCGTGCGAAACACTCGCGTCTGATTATTTGTATGACAAATTGTTACCTGAGACCCAATTACGATTACCTGCCCAGTTATCGGCTAAATTAATAATTATCAGTGACTAAGTCTCACAATGCACTAATGCGTAGCAATTCCAATTTGCAAAAACTTATTTTGTAAGCAATAATAATGTATATGTAGTTTGTAGTTTTTAGTTTAGCCACAATTCACGCCCAGTAACTGCACCAAATTATCTATTACTATCTAATTTATTTAGCTTATAGAACTAACTTTTCTAGTTAAAAAAAAAACAAACGAGAAAGTAAATATAATCCCACTTATGTTACTGTACAGCTTTGTCAGTGCAAGCCAACTTCACTCTCTCTCTCTTTTTCTGTCCCTCTCTCAATAAAGTTTTCACTGTAAATATAGAAATTTCGCTCAATTAACATTGTAAAGGAACAGTTCTTTTGAAATAGTTTTCAAACGCGCCAAAAAGGCGATAATTAATCGATAGTTAAGTGAAGCAATAAATACTAAAGAACTAGTATAGGTGAATCAACTATCGAAAGAACTTTAACTAAAACTAGTTCTCGTTTTACTACATCATGTTTTCGTTTGAATTCTGTTTCATTTTGTTTGTTTATTAATTTGTTTATGTTTTTTTTTCTATCTCTCTAATACCATTTACACATTTTCCGTTCTTCCATTAATGGGGTCTTAAAAGGGCAATTCATAATACAAGATATAACTAACGAATTATTTAATGTTATGCACGCTATACAGACCAACAATGTTGTCCATCAATCATCTATACCAGACGCTGCTGCACGTACTCCAGGTGACGCTCTCCTTCCTGCTCATGCTGATCTTTATGACATACAATGTCTGGCTCTGCATGATGGTCGTCCTGGGCGCTGGCGTTGGCTATTTCCTGTTCTGCTGGAAGAAATCGGTTATCGTCGATGTGACCGAGCATTGTCACTAACAGCGCTCGATTGGAAATCCAATCAGAGCGGTGTTCCATGCGATACGATACAGCAGGCCCTGCCGAGCAGCTGAATGCTCCAATTTCTCGAAATGTCAACAAAAGCAAACACACATACACACATACACACACACGTACACACACACACACACACACACACACACACACACACATACACACACACACACACCACTCAAAGACATACACATGTCCTCCAACACACACACATATGAACACATTTTTAGGTATTAAAATATAAATATATACACTAATATATAGATACTTTATCCGTGCTGAATAATCGGGGCAACGTATTTGCCAGCACTCAAATTTTTTACAACTGTGAAATTTTTTAAACAAATTTAAGACACAAAAATCTGTATACAAAAACAAAAGAAAAAGGAAAAGAAACATAAGAGGAAAAGAAAGGGAGAAAACCCGATGTTTTGGGCACACATCGCTTTTCCTTCGACTTTTGAGGTTAGGTTAGTTAAGAAATTGTTAAAAGTTGTCCAACTAAATAATTGTAAAAATTGTAAAAACAAAATACAAAATGGAATAAGGAAACAGTGAATCATTTGTTGTTACAACTCAAAGCTAAGCTAGCCAAACATTTCTCAATTGGTCAATGTTAATTTCTAATCGACGTCCCAATTATTCATTCATATATTGTTCTTATTTTTTACTTCAAATTATTTACAATACCACAATTATGTTTTATACTTTGTTAATAATATGCAATTTACATATATATATATATATATATATATATATATATATATATATATATATATATATATATATATATATATATATATATATATTTATATATATATATATATTTATATTTATTATTTTTTGCGGTTGTCAAAAGCTAAGAATATTTGTTTCGTATTTGCCTTGCCTCAACATTAATGAATTTATAATTCCGTTTTAATAATGATATTGACCAAAAGTGTATATATATACATATACATGGATATATACGTATGTTTATATGTATATATAAATTCATATATAGATTGCTGTAGATATTAATTGTAAATGCAAATACAAACAATAAATGGCAACAAAACTATGAGACGTATACATTATCGATATAAATATATAAATAAATTACAACAAATATATACACAATGGCTAAAAACAATCAAGATGGCATTTTTAATACTCGTTACAAAGGGGAAAACTGTATTCTGTCTATCTAGCTTGAAATTTGAGATGCATCTATTCATCATGTGTGTTTTGCCTCGTTTGATACATCGCCTAGATTAGGCGGCGTGGCAGATCGGCATAAAAAATAATTAAATCATAACTTTAAAGCTGACATAACCAAGTTCAACAAGAAAACTATTTTCCTCAGAAAGACCTATAAATTGTAGAGAACGCCCTTTAAGGCACGGCGCAATCGAAAATATTGATATAAGTAAATTTGGTTATTATTGGACACATATGCGCTCGATAGCGCCATATTTTTCAAAAAGTAACTGTCAATACTCAAAATGGTGAAACTTAAATCGAACCAGTTCTTATTCTGCTGGTATAGAGCATTAATTTAAGCCTGAACGAAACAGAATATCGATAACGATAACAAATCGTGATTTTGCTTTGTAATCACATTTAAAATTGTATTGAACAGACTATGGGCAAGAACGGGTAAAGCACTATTCAACAGCTGTAAATAAACCCATGTAAAAACAAATAAAGAACAATGTTTTCAGGATTGCGCAATCGTTTGCATAGTTTTTGTTTTTTTATTGTTTTTTTCCTTGTGGTTTTTATTTTTTCTTTTTCATTTTTTTTTTGGTTTTTCATTTTTGCTTTGTTTTGTTTCAATAAAAAATTATCGCGATTTTGAATGGTATTATTATCATTAATTGTAATAGGTATTAAGTGTAGATGTAAGTTATATATATGCATGTAATAATTAAAAACTCGCCTTTATATGGACTACATTTTGTTGTTACTTTTTGCTTTTCGCTTTTCTTTTTCTTTTTTTTTTTAATGTAATTATTAGTTGGTTCTGTACTTTTTATTGTATTCTCGTTTGCGAATCAAATGAAAAATTAAAAATATATATTTAATATATATTATTATATATATATTTTTTTCTAAATACATAACGAAAGGCGGATGCGTCAATATCCTTCACAAAAGCGCGCGAACCAACATGAACAAAACTAAATTCAAAAATTCAAATTAACAGAACCGAATATATATATAAATATATATAAATATATATATATATATATATATATATATATATATATATATATATATATATATATATGAGCATATATATATTAATATATATATGCATAAATTGCTATTGCCAATATTTGTGAAAGATACAACGTGGCCAAAATAGAATTAAATATTTAACAATTGTTTGGATCGTGTTTGTTTGGCAACAAACAGAGAAGGATGATGGAGTGGGAGCAATTTATAAATTATATATGTATATATATACATATATAAAATATATATATATAGATATATATATGTAGAAAAAGTGAGATAAATTGAAATTCACCTCGTATCTCATGCCTTAATACAGTTAACATGAGTGGAAGATACAGTGAGCCCGTCACTCTCGCTGCTCGCTACTCGTTACTCGTTATTCTCACTACTCGTTACTCGCTACTCGTTGCTCCTTTGACTAGGCACTCCATGGCGTCTGCATTCGTCTGTCTTGAAGAAACATAACTGGTGTTTGTTGTGGGTTGGCAAAGCAAGTTACCTGGAGTGGCTCCACATTTGGGGCCCAGGCATATGTGTTCTCTCGCTCTCCGAAACGGAGCTTGCCACTTGCCGATCGCCGATTGAAGACTGGAAGAACATGCGCATCCGTTGAATCCTGCAAATGTTTGTAGAGAACAAAATCAGCATACAAATATGGCACTTGAGTGTTATTTTCATTTCATTTTTTGAATAAACTAAAGAAATAGAGCACCCGAAACTTCTGAGGGGAAAAATCAGATTTGGATACATGAGCATATGACGTGGGTATATAGTTACGATAAACGCGCGCATTGCTTAATATATATATCATTATAATCTCAAAAGGCTGGGCGTATAGATACATATATATGTATATATATATTGTGTATATAAATATATATATATATTGATATAGATATGTATATGTATTTTGTTGAGCCCATCAGTTACATATTAACAGAGAGTGTGTCTGAGTTGTCTGTGTGTGTGTGAGAGAGTGTAGGGGAGTGGAGAGGTCGAGTGTTGCTAACCACTTGAGAAGATCGGCTGCTTAAGTACTATGGAATACTTGGGCTATAACGATAATTAGTGTATGTGAAGTATTTATTTAGTCAATATACAAATACATATACATATATATGTATATATAAAACATGGGCATACGCAGTAAATGCTTTGGTAATTTTTGGGTAGGGTATACAAATTCATATATGACGCTGCACTCGCCTATAACTACAAAGCTATCAATAATATATATATGTATATATATAGATATATATATACATGCATATAGCATTTACTGATATATATATATATATATACATATATGTATATATCATTAAATGATAATCAATTGCAATTACCTCTGCTTCTTTATTGATTCGCAAGTTCGATAACGAATTCAAACCAAATATCGATCACTGCTGCAATTATCGCATTGTTCACTCATGTATATATATATATATATATATATATATGTATATATATATACATATAAATATACAAACATACATATATTATCTTGTGTTCTTTCCCATTTCGTTTCAACATTTGTTTGTACATTGGAAAGTACAACAACAATAAACATGAAATCAATTTCGGCCTAGCCGAAGTCTCTATGCCCCTGCCAAATCGTTCTACAAAATTGAGCAATGATCAATTTTTGAGTAAATTATATTGAGTAATATATGTTTTTATATTAAAATTTCTGTGGTACACATATATATTTTCAACTTTAGCATACATTAGCAAATTGAAAAGACACAGACAAAGGATTTTCGAATATATATATTTATAAATTTGGAAAAGGCATAAATATATGATTGAAGAAAATGTACCTGACGCACTTGCGAGTCTCGGAAAGCCTCAATAACCGGTTCATGTGTTGTTCAGTGTGATCGGGCCTTTAGGCAGGTTCAAATTTTGAATTCTTTCAATTATTTCACTCTTCCTAGTGACTAAATGACTACAGCAAATATTCATTGATAGACAAGAGTGAAAGAGAGAGAGAGTGAGAGAGTTGCTGTGTGTTTCTGTGTGTGTGTGTGTGTGTGTGTGTGTGTGTGTGTGTGCGTGTGTGTGTGTTTGTGTGCGTGTGTGTGTGTGAGCGAGAGAGGATTACGTACCTCTGGGTCGGATTAACCGTTAACGTATAGAACAATTCAAGCTTAATGCAACCCTGACCCTGATCGGCTGGCAAAACTCGCATTAGAACGGATCGTGATTGGATCGTGGATCCCTGGTTCTGTTGTACCGCTGTACCGAACCATCGCGAACCACCAAAGCACATGCCATTCCCATGCAAACATGATATCTGTGTGGGTGTTCCATTATATCATAATATATAGTACATATGAATTTACTTAAAAGAATTTTCTATATATATATATATAATTTGTTTTTGTTTTTAAGTTGATTTATTTATAGTTTTTTTTAATTTTTTATGTTAGTTAATTTGTTGTCGAGTGGTAAATACCTGGTACAATCAATTTGAACGTATCTCCAATAACAAGTACAACAAGGATACTCTCATTCCCAGCGTTCTGTGAGTTATATATTCAGTTTTTGTATATCTATGTCGTTGTCACTGAGTGTGTATGTGATGGTGTGTGTGTGTGTGTTGGTGTGTGTAAGTATTCCCATCAACCAAATTGAACTAACCTGCTTCCGTTTACACTTTTCTCTCATCTCATTTCATCTCATGGGAATGGATCTAACCTCAAAGGACTAGAATTATATATGCTTGGGTTCTCGTAATTCCACATTCCTCTTTCACAATCGGTTTGTCAGCATATATATGCGTGAGTTGCTATCTACAATCCAGACCAGTGCGACGAGAGGCTCTTCTATGGTTGCCTGTTTCGGTTCTCATATTGTTCCGGTTCAGTTGTATAGCGAATACGATTTTGTTTGGCAATGTGATAAATTGAGTGCAGAAATACGCTTGTAGATGCATTGGGTTGTGTTGGAACAGGTGGAATTGGAACATGCCTAACAGCCACTAAGATGCTATCACAGTGTTTGCGAAATAAAAAGCGAAATTTGACAATTGTTTTCACTATAGCATATTGAAACAGTGGAAAATTAAATAATTGGAATTGAAACATTTTTAATTTTTAATATTGTGAATAAATTAACTTGCTATTCGACAGTTTGTTTCATTTAAAGACATGACAAGTGTTTCATCACTGCAATCCTAAGTTTTCTTCTTTTTTTTGTATATACAGACAATTTGGATTCTCTAAAAGATACTCAGCAGAGGACTACTTTCATGTTTCATTTAACTATTCCTAACAAAGCAGCTGCCCCATTTTCTAGTTGCACAAAGAGCATGCATAGAGCTAACATATAGAAATATATATAGATAAGACCGGAGCAGGCGAGCCTTGTGCAAACATAAATCTGTCATCTATGTTAACTATTCGTGTTGTGTCTGTGTGTGTGTGTGTGTGTGTTTTTTTATAGAGTGAATTTAAGTTTTCTTGTTTTCTGTTAAATATTCTTTTAGGTTTTTTTTTCAAGACAATTTGTGCCTGTCTTTGTACAGATGGAGATTACATATGGAGTATATATATATTTAATTTTTTTGGTTTTCTTGGCTGGACTACGAGTACGTGTACAAGTTGGAGTTATATGAATAGCGTTTTAGATAGTCTGTTATTGAACTCACCTCAGATCCTTTGCATGTTTGGCACAGGTGCACACGTGTCACACACACATGCGTGCCCCATAGACTGTCTGATCTTAATGTTTTTTATAGATTATTGAAATATTATTTTTTTGGAGTACCTCGATGCTGCATGGAGTGTGTGGTGGTGGGAGGGGGCGTGGCACTGGGCCAGTGAGTTCATGTTGTTATTGTTGTTGTTGCGTAGTATCTTCAGCTAATTTTGCATTTTGCGTTACATTTACAAGAGTTTGTTAATTTGCTTTGCTTTTTTTTTGTTATCATAGTCTGTTGCGGTTGTTGTTTCTTTTTCTTTGTTAGCTGTTGCTCTTTGTTATTGTTGTTGCTGTTATTGTTTTGGTTGTATCCTAGTAACGACTGCGACTGCGACTGCGACCATGCCGCTCCCGACTGTCGTGGCGGTAATGATGATTGTGACTGCTGCGTCGACTGCTGCTGCTGCTGTTGTGGCTGCCACTGCGCGAATACGAATGACCATGATGCGATTTGTGATGATCTGTGCAAGGGTCGAAAGACAGTTAGAAAGTTAATAACGCAAAATGCCAAATCAAAAAGCTGAAACTGAAATTAAATAACTGTGCCGTGTGCAAACTTACGATGCCGCCTGTCCGACGATTGACGATTGGGCGGATAGTCACGACTGCGTTCCCGATAGTCGCGCTGATCGCTGCACGAAATGAAGTGCAATAGATATATATACATAGAGAGAAAGAGAGAGGGAAAGTACATATATTAAAGAATATATATATATATATAAATGTAAATATAGTAAGAGCTGATTTACCGCCTGCTGTCGTAGCTGTTGTGAAAGCGTTGCACACGATCATCGCGTCGTCTGCGCTCCTCCTCTTCGTGCTCCTTTTGACGCCGCTCATTGATCTCGGCGACAGCATTGCGTAGCTTGGAATAACCCAAATGCTGTTTGCCCATCAAGTGATCCTCGATGCGCTGCTGTGCATCTCCCACAATCAGAAAGGCGCCGCATATTTCGCACACCTTCATTTGTTTTTCGGGCAGCACTTCGTGCGACCAATTGGCTGACTGTTTGCCATCGGTCTTGGACTCCAATTTGTCTTGGGTGTCGGCTATGGGGGATGCAGTGGCTGTGGGCGATGCGCCAGCGCTTGATGTTGCAGTTGCTATTGTTGTTGGGGTTACTGTTGCCTCATCGACCGTTTCATGCGTTTCGTTGCTTTCGAGGGCAATCGTATCGCTGGCTACGTTTTCTACGTTGGCTACGGGACTAGCAAGTGGCGGCTGGTCCACATTTGGGGCTTCAGTCGCGTTTGTTGTTGGTGTGGTGGGCGTGGATGTGGTTGTAGTTGTTGGTGGTGGAGGCGCGCGCTGCTTGTGATAGTTCTTCATGTGCGCTTCATATTGTTGATTCAACGTCTCCTTCTCCTCCTTGAGATCCTCGCATAGTAACATCAGATCCTGCGCCTGATCCACGTCACCGCGTATGCCCGCCTCTTCAGCCTCGGCCAACAGTTTATTGATGCGTGCAGTTAGATTGTTAAGGTGCTCCTGATGCTTGGCCGCTTGCGACATTGTCCCTGACGGATGATCCCGCTGCATTAGCTGCAGCCGCTGTTTGCCCTTCTGTATCTTCCGATCGACATCGTGCAGCATCACATTGCAGAAGCGCAGAAACTCATCCTCTGTATGGCGTTTGCGCTGCGACGGACGCGCCACCTCGTACAAATGTTTCGCCTCTTCGTCGTGGATACGCGTGCAAGGGCCCAAATCCGCACGAGTATTAATAAATAGATCGTGTGGACAGAATTTCACATTGTAGAATTGACAGAACTAAAAAGGCAGGAGACAATGCAAAATGAATGTGATGGGTTTATAAAATCTCTTAAATAAGATCAAATTCGAACATAAAAGTTTATCTTCTAATAGATGTATTCAAATACAAACAGTTGGAAATGACACATGTTAAATTTAATTGAATTCTAACATACTTCCAATCTAACATTAACTATCTATTGATACTGTTAAACAAATATGTGTATATTCTTTCTATTACTCAGTATATTTCCACTTGAACAAAATGTAAACAAAGTTGAGCCGCGCTGGCCGCAAGCATAATAAGGATCGTCTCACAACTTTCGTTGTGCACTGTGCTTAGCCGGCAATAAAAACAATGCAATGAAGATGATCATAAATAAATGCAATAGCACTTGACTTTGCCAAGAAATGCGATTATATCACACTGAGGACGTCTATAATAATGATGCAAGCATCATGATCTGTCCGCGACTTACCTCTGGATCTTCCCAATTGACCGCTTGTCCAGCCTCAGATGGATGCAAATTTCGATTGCGGCCCATTAGCTCATCGAGCATTTGTCTGGCAGCGTCCACCATTTTGGCTGTATGTGTGTGCTTTGTGTGTGTGTGTTGGTGGACTGCTGCTGCTGACTAGCTTAAATCAGTTGACAGTCGCAGGTGCTGTGTAAACGTTATTCCTATTATTGTGCTAATGTAACGCGCGTTTTATAGACGTATGCCATTAAATAAATTTTAATAAATATATATCTCTTTTATCAAATTTCGGAATCAATAATTCCCTAGTCAGCTCACACGCGTTAGCGATGGTAACTTGCGTAAAAACCCGCCGTCGAAAGAGTAATATATCGTATTGCAGTGCTGCCAGACTGTTGACCGCAAGCACAACTATCGATAAGTTTTTGTTTGAACTAAATAGCTATTAAAAACATTCTATTAGGTAAGAAAATATATAAATATGAATATATATAATATTCATATAGGATACAAATATTATTATGACCCATTTACCTAAAACGTATATTGAATCGGTGAAATATCGATAATTCATACAAAGCCGCTGTCAGCGCGAATTGTCAAAAAAGGCGCGAAGATTGGCAAAAAGAAACACGCAGTAAATAGCATCATAGTCGGCACATTGTTTGTTGAGCGTTTCGGAGTTATTTGCTGTAAAAGAATTAAACGAAATGGATGTTGCGGATGCACAAATCGGACAGCTGCGTGTCAAAGATGAGGTTGGCTTACGCACCCAAAAACTCTTTCAAGATTTTCTTGAAGAATTCAAAGAGGATGGAGAAATCAAATATACTCGACCCGCCGCCAATCTCGAGTCGCCCGATCGCTGCACGCTCGAAGTGAGTTTCGAAGATGTAGAGAAATATAATCAGAACCTAGCCACGGCCATTATTGAGGAATATTATCATGTATATCCGTTTCTCTGCCAATCCGTTTCGAACTATGTGAAAGATCGTATTGGCCTCAAGACCAACAAAGATTGTTATGTGGCCTTCACGGAGGTGCCGACGCGACATAAAGTGCGCGATCTAACCACCTCGAAGATTGGAACACTTATCCGTATTTCCGGCCAGGTGGTGCGCACGCATCCCGTACATCCGGAGCTTGTGTCCGGCACCTTCATGTGCCTCGACTGCCAAACGGAAATCCGAAATGTTGAACAGCAATTCAAGTTTACCAATCCGACCATTTGTCGCAATCCCGTGTGTGCAAATCGCCGTCGTTTCATGCTGGATGTGGAGAAGTCGCTGTTCCTTGACTTCCAGAAGATACGCATCCAGGAGACGCAAGCGGAGCTGCCACGCGGCTGCATTCCGCGTGCCGTAGAGATCATATTGCGCTCCGAGCTGGTGGAGACGGTGCAGGCTGGTGACCGTTATGATTTCACCGGCACCCTCATTGTGGTCCCAGATGTAAGCGTGCTGAGCACGCCGGGCACCAGAGCCGAAATGGGCTCCCGCCATAAGCCAGGCGAAGGTGCCGATGGTGTCACCGGACTCAAGGCTTTGGGCGTGCGAGAGCTGAACTATCGTATGGCCTTTCTGGCATGCAGCGTCCAAGCGACCACTGCACGCTTTGGCGGCACAGATCTGCCCATGTCCGAGGTGACGGCTGAAGATATGAAGAAGCAGATGACCGATGCCGAGTGGCAAATGATCTATGAGATGTCCAAAGATCGCAATCTCTATCAAAATCTGATAAGCAGTCTCTTTCCCTCGATATATGGAAACGATGAAGTGAAGCGTGGCATACTCCTACAGCTATTCGGAGGCGTGGCCAAGACAACCACGGAGAAGACCTCGCTGCGTGGCGATGTAAACGTTTGCATTGTTGGTGATCCGAGCACAGCCAAATCGCAGTTTCTTAAGCAGGTCTCCGATTTCTCTCCACGCGCCATCTACACCTCGGGCAAGGCATCCTCCGCAGCGGGTCTAACCGCCGCCGTGGTCCGTGACGAGGAGAGCTTCGATTTTGTTATTGAGGCGGGCGCCCTGATGTTGGCGGATAATGGAATCTGCTGCATTGATGAGTTCGACAAGATGGATCAACGCGATCAGGTAGCTATACACGAAGCCATGGAACAGCAGACCATATCAATAGCTCGCGCTGGTGTTCGAGCCACGCTCAACGCACGCACCTCCATTTTGGCAGCTGCAAATCCCATCAATGGACGCTACGATCGCTCCAAGAGTCTTCAGCAGAATATTCAGCTGTCGGCTCCGATTATGTCACGTTTCGATCTGTTCTTCATTTTGGTGGACGAGTGCAACGAGGTGGTGGACTATGCCATTGCCCGCAAAATCGTGGATCTGCACTCGAACATCGAGGAGTCCGTGGAGCGTGCATACACACGAGAGGAGGTACTACGCTATGTGACATTCGCACGCCAATTCAAGCCGATAATTGGCATGGAGGCGGGCAAAATGCTCGTGGAGAACTATGGACATTTGAGGCAACGCGATACCGGCTCCTCGGGTCGCAGCACTTGGCGAATTACCGTGCGTCAGCTGGAGTCGATGATACGGCTGAGCGAGGCCATGGCCAAGCTGGAGTGCTCCAATCGTGTGCTCGAGCGTCATGTCAAGGAGGCATTCCGTTTGCTCAACAAATCAATCATCCGTGTCGAACAGCCGGACATTCATTTGGATGATGATGAGCCTCTGGATGTGGACGATGGCATAGAACACGACATTGACATGGAGAACAATGGTGCCGCTGCCAATACGGACGCCGATGCCGTAGATACATCTGGCAGTGCACTCCAAAAGAAGAAGTTCACGTTATCCTTTGAGGATTATAAAAATCTTTCCACCATGCTGGTGCTGCATATGCGAGGCGAGGAGTCACGCTGCGAGGTGGAGGGCACAGATACGGGCATGAGAAGAAGCGATGTTGTCACCTGGTATCTGGAGCAGGTGGCCGAGCAGATAGAGTCCGAGGATGAGCTCATATCAAGAAAGAATCTCATCGAGAAGCTAATCGATCGTCTCATCTATCACGATCAGGTCATCATACCTCTTAAAACCACCAATCTAAAGCCCTTTGCCAAGAGCCCCAAAGCATCAGCTGGCGATGAAGAGCTGGAAAACGATCCGCTCCTTGTTGTCCATCCGAATTATATAGTGGAGTAATCCCCAATAGCTGTTCTGCTCATCATCATTTTTTCAATCATTTTTTCATCATTTTCATTTCATTCGAGTTAAGTTTGTGCGCGTTTTTCTTCTATATATTATATATTCCATGTTTACAGATGATTTTGTCTAAAAAACATTGTAAGTTAGGTTTCATCTATTTCATAAATATTAATTGTAAGGATTAAATGTAATTTAAAGTAATTTACATTTAACTACTATAAAATAATCATTATTTTTTTTTATATATTTCTAATTTTCAAATTTATGCATTTATATATAAATTTAACAAATAAATATTTAAAGTTTTTAGGTTATGTCGCCAACAATAAATATATTTTTTGAGAAGTATTCAAATAATGTAGATAAAATGATCATCTATCGATATATTTACCACTTCCATGGCTTCTCCTTTTGCTGCCACTAAAATGTTTGCATATGTTCACGAACTGCACATGAAGGGAGAAGGACCAAATCGTGAATTGAATAACACATCGATTTATTTGCTTTGCAGCCCACAAACTCCCGCTTTAGGCATAAAAAAGAACGGAACTGAAGACATTTGAATTTGTTTTTTTTTTAATTGTACATATGCGTTGGTAAATTGCCTAATTTACGATAAAGGCGAAGCAAAACAAGTAATAGAAAACTACACACAAGCTGCTGGGCGGCTTGGTATCCCTAACGTTCGAAGGTGTAGTGCTTGACGCCGTCAGCGGGATACTGTTTGGCGGCCACTGGTCGATACATTTTCTTATCCTCGAGCCAATAGTATAGGGCCAAACAACCACCCATGACACCAATGAAGGACAAAAAGTAGTAGCTATTATTGTAGCGGGGATAATCGGGCTGTGAGTAGCGATCCTCGCTGTACAAATCATGATCCGCTGAAATCTACCAAAAAATATAAGTATAAGCTGATAAAAATCCTATAGCGTAAATTAATCAAGCTTACTGGCTCATTAAAGTTGCGTTTGATCTCGGGATAGTCATAGGGATAGTAGCTATCCTTATACTCTACACCGAGGCCGCCGCCAACTTTTGGATAGTCGCCATAGCCGAGTCCATCATCCGCGTAGGGTTTGTACTCTTCAGGCAGCAGATAATATTTCTTGGCAGCTGCCTCGCGTTCCTTTTCGGTTTTAGGATATTGTCCAGGCTTGTAGTCCTTATTCCAGCCGGCAACTGTAAGATAAATTCAATTATCAAAAGCCTTTTAGCAGAAGTTACGTAAACAAAACAGAAACTATAACAAAATATACTCACGATTGCGGGCAATATGAGCCTGCAAAACTGGATTGACAGTGCTCAGCTTCTTGGCCAAGCACAGAGATTTCATTAACGCTGACATTGTGTGGGCGAGGCGTTAGTTGCTTCTCAATTCACAATTTATGTTCACCAATTTTTTTGCTCGCCTCGCAGCAACTCGGCAGACGGCAGTCACAGCTGTTGCTTAGAGGTGAACGATAATAATAATACAACTGCTCACTACGATTAATCGTATTAATCGATATACTCTTGGAAACAAAACAGTCGTCTATCGCACTTATTGTTATTGTTGTGTTGCGTGCCTGGTCCCCGCCAGTTGGAGAGCTAGTGAAATATACGCGGCTTTATTCTGTTTGGCAACTGCTGTATTTAACTATTTATACATATATATTATAAACATGGTGCTACCGCTTTTGCAGCGCTCTACGCTTCGTGGCGTTCAACAGCTAACCAAGCCATGGGCAAGCGCAGCGTGCAGTCTTCGCATGGTAAGGAGATTTATCGTGGAGTGTGCGCGCTTATGTAATTTTGCATTTTATTTTTTACCTGCACTGCCCCTTTTAGCCAACTTTTAATGCTACAGTGCAACACTCGACAGATTCGAGCGGGAAACAAACCTCTCTAAAATACATACGGGCACACACACAAGCATTGCAGTTATTTCCAATTGGAATCACTGTTGTGGCAATTGCCGGCATTTCATAATCAAGTATACTATGCAAATATGAGGTGATTATATGAGACGTTGCCCTGATAATAATCAGTGGTAGAAAAGAAGCTCCGTAATAATTGAGCCCATTTTTTATTTTGGCATTCGGAACTTGGCTAACAAAACTTCAACAAGTTGTGCACAATTCCAACAAGATCTATATATGCTGTTTTGAACATGTTCACAATTCATTCAATTGGATATGTTGTGAACCAGTTGGAATTTAGTGTAAAAGTTTAAACTACGCTTTTGGAGTTTGATTCAACCCATGAATAGAATCACAGATGTTATTTAACTTAAAACAAAAGTAGATTTCTATAGGGTATTTTTAGGTCTATCATGTTTAACTTTCTTTAGCATTTTTACATACACACATCTTCTGTTCAAAGCTTTGCTTTGCAGGCATACTTGTATATATATGTATATATAAATTACATATTCTGAAAACTGACATTGGCAGCTGTTTCAATAAATAAAAAAAAAGTCAATTATTCAGGTTTTTGATAATGAAAACCGGTTGATTGTATTTAGTTAATGTTCTAATTGGAAAATCGTTTCGCACAACTGTGCGAACTCTATTTAGCCTGTCATCCACACTGCTTGGCATCCACTAACTACTGTTGCTTGTTAGCAGCGCCTTTGCTCCTCTCTAATCTGTAACATTTGAAAGTGTTGTTTTTTTACTCGATTGTCTTAGATTTAACACTTACTCGTAGCTTGTTTACGCATAGCGGGTCTATAAAGTTAAAATCTCGCGCACACACACAGTGAACAGATTGGCTTACTGTCAGACACATACACAGGCAAACAGGCATAAATTCCGCTGAGCAGCAGAAAACGCGCCCCGTGGGTCGCAATCCTCTTTTCAGCATAGGCGCACTTTATGTGCCCTACAGAAGTTGGTCAATCAAAATTTAAATAAATCATATATTTAATTTTTATAAGTTTGATTATATATATATTTTTATATATGAATTATTGAAAAGTTTACTGGCTTGAAAACAATTGAATTGATTATTTAATTGAAATAATGTACTGTGTTCAATGAACGCATTTATCTGCGTATCCTTCGCGAACCACTATATAACCGAACTACTGAATCGAAATTGAATCTTTTCATAACAATTGAACTACTATTAGCAACTTTAGTGTTCATTGAATTGTTTAATTAAATTTAGCTGGAAGTAATCGAGAAATTAAGATAGAATTGTAGTGTAAGGCATCTGCGAATCATGTTGGCCCAACCCAAACAATATGCCATACTTGCTGAGCTTGTTCTTGCTTTGATTTTTTTGCCGCTGCCCGCATTTTGCTGTTGTATATTTGCTGGTCGACTTATCTGATTCGCCAGTCATCCGACGGAGCCGCTGGCGAACGGAATCATTTAATTACGAGTAGCTAAGTGAAGCATAATGGTCAGCCACCTGCTTAGTATTACACATGCATTTGTATGTACAAATATGTATGTATACCGATTAATATGTCCTTTCTCGTTGACAGGCCTCGCAGGATTTTCGCGTGGAGAGCGATACCTTTGGCGAGCTGAAGGTGCCCGCTGATAAATACTATGGCGCACAGACAATGCGCTCCCAGATCAACTTTCCCATTGGCGGACCCACCGAACGCATGCCGGCAAGCATTTTAAAAAAGACTAATTTATAAGCGGTAGAATAATTGTGAATTCGTAACAGAAACCCGTCGTCCAGGCCATGGGCATCTTGAAGAAGGCCGCTGCAGAGGTCAACAAAGAGTTCGGCCTCGATCAGAAGGTCAGCGAGGCCATCTCGAAGGCCGCCGACGATGTTATCTCTGGCAAGCTGTACGACGATCACTTCCCCCTAGTCATCTGGCAGACTGGCTCAGGCACCCAGAGCAACATGAATGTCAACGAGGTGCGTTTATTATTAACCTCAATCTTATATTCCCTGCTCATCCATTTGGTCATCAGGTCATCAGCAATCGGGCCATTGAGCTGATGGGCGGCAAGCTGGGCTCCAAGACGCCCGTGCATCCGAACGATCATGTCAATAAGTCGCAGAGCTCCAATGACACCTTCCCCACGGCCATTCACATCTCGGTCGCTCTGGAGCTGAACAACAATCTGAAGCCGGCGATTAAAACGCTGCACGATGCGCTGGCCGCCAAGTCGAATGAGTTCAAGGATATCATTAAGATCGGCCGCACCCATACCATGGACGCTGTTCCCCTGACCCTGGGCCAAGAATTCGGCGGCTATGCCCAACAGCTGGCCTATGCTCTAGAACGCATCGATGCCTGCCTGCCCCGTGTCTACGAGCTGGCTCTAGGCGGTACTGCTGTCGGCACAGGCCTGAATACTCGCAAAGGCTTCGCCGAGAAGTGCGCTGCCAAAATAGCCCAACTAACCGGCCTGCCCTTTGTAACTGCCCCCAACAAGTTCGAAGCTCTAGCTGCACGCGATGCCATGGTCGAAGTGCATGGCGTACTGAACACCATTGCCGTCAGCCTCATGAAGATTGCCAACGACATTCGGTTTTTAGGTTCGGGACCGCGGTGCGGCTTGGGTGAGCTCTCACTGCCAGAGAACGAGCCGGGCAGCTCCATAATGCCGGGCAAGGTGAATCCCACTCAATGCGAATCACTCACCATGCTCTCCGCTCAGGTGATGGGCAATCAGGTGGCTGTCACTGTCGGCGGCGCCAATGGACATTTCGAGCTGAACGTCTTCAAGCCACTGATTGTATCCAATGTCCTGCGCTCCATTCGCCTGCTCTGTGAGTAGAGAAGAATGCGCTGTAGTCCCACCCAACCAGCTCTCATCCACTTGTTATCTCCTCTTTCTTTGCAGCCGATGGTAGTCGAACCTTTACGGCCAACTGCGTGAATGGCATACAGGCGAACAAGGACCGCATTGCCAAGATCATGAACGAGTCGCTGATGCTGGTGACAGCGCTTAATCCGCACATTGGCTACGACAAGGCGGCCAAGATTGCAAAGACAGCGCATAAGAATGGAACCACACTGAAGGAGGAGGCCATCAATCTGGGCTATTTGACAGAGCAACAGTTCAACGAATGGGTGCGACCCGAACAAATGCTGGGACCCAAATAGACATCATTATTGTCCATCCCAATTATGCACCAAGTGTAAAGTCGACCTTGCTTTTGCTGTCAAGATATATTTGAAAGCTGGACGACATGTGTACGTCCGAGCAGCTCAGTATCAGTCCGAAAATCCAATAAAAAGCATCTATTATTTCTTCTTGAACATAAACTCTATGAAAGGAAACAAATAGATTTTTTATTTTAATTATAATCAAAATTAACAATCGAAGTACTTAATCGCAATGTTGTGTAAAAAGCATAAGCTACTGTGTCCACCACACCTGGTCCTGAAGAGCTGGCATCATCATTTAGCGACGACGCTGTCGCTGCAAAATAAAATGAAATCAAAAGACGTAAGTTACGGCTTCTGCTGTGCAGTTTCCATAATTGATCATCGCTCTGCAGGACGAAAAGTACCGCGTGGAAAAAGACACCTTTGGCGAGCTGAAAGTGCCAGCCGATAGGCTCTACGGCGCACAGACTATGCGCTCGGTGCTCAACTTTCCCATAGGCAACATAGGCGAACGTATGCCGGTAATTATGCCCCTGGCTTCCTTTCCCTCGCTCTCTCCCTCTCTGATAATAGCAACAATTGCTATCAAATCAATTTCTTTGACAGAAACCGGTCGTTCAAGCCATGGGCATTTTGAAAAAGGCATGTGCGAATGTTAATAAAGATTTTGGCATGGATCCCAAGATAGCAGATGCTGTGGCAAATGCCTGCGATGATGTTATCTCTGGCAAACACTATGCCGCGGGACACTTTCCGCTGGTCATCTGGCAGACGGGCTCCGGCACACAGACAAATATGAACACCAACGAGGTGATTAGCAATGCAGCCATCAAGGCGATGGGCGGCGAACTGGGCTCCAAGAAACCCGTACATCCTAACGACCATGTGAACAAGTCGCAAAGCTCCAACGATACCTTTCCAGCCGCCTCGCACATCTCTGTCGCTTTAGAGCTCAATAAGCGTCTCAAACCATCCATTTCATATTTGCGGGACGCCCTGCATTGCAAAGCGGTTGATTACAAGGACATCATTAAGATCGGTCGCACTCATCTGATGGATGCCGTGCCCATGACACTGGGCCAGGAGTTCAGCGGCTATGCTCAACAGCTAACGAATGGGCTGGCACGCATCGATGCGTGTCTGCCTCGCGTCTATGAGCTGGCCCTGGGAGGTACGGCCGTCGGCACTGGCCTCAATACCCCCAAAGGTTTTGCAGAGAAGGTATCAGCTCGCATCGCCGAACTAACCAGCTTGCCTTTTGTCACAGCGCCCAATTTCTTTGAAGCTCTAGCTGCTCGAGATGCCATGGTCGAAGTGCATGGCGTACTGAACACCATTGCCGTCAGCCTCATGAAGATTGCTAATGACATTCGGTTTTTAGGATCGGGACCGCGTTGCGGCTTGGGTGAGCTCTCACTGCCAGAGAACGAGCCGGGCAGCTCCATAATGCCGGGCAAGGTGAATCCCACACAGTGTGAATCCTTAACTATGATATGTGCACAGGTGATGGGTAACCAGGTAGCTGTAACAGTAGGCGGTGCATTTGGGCACTTCGAACTGAACGTATTTAAGCCCTTAATTGTGTCCAATGTCCTGCGTTCTATACGCTTGCTCGGTGAGTGACCAGATGAGGGAAATCATATCCAAGCATTTAAACTATACTATTTGCAGCGGATGGTAGCGTCAATTTTAGCAAGAACTGTGTGGAAGGTATTCAGCCGAATCATGAGCGCATTGCCAAGATCATGAACGAGTCTCTGATGTTGGTAACGGCTCTTAATCCCCACATCGGATATGACAAGGCAGCGGCTATAGCCAAGACGGCGCATAAGAATGGTACCACGCTAAAACAGGAAGCCCTCAAGGCTGGCATCACCGAGCAACAATTTAAAGAATGGGTAGACCCTAAGAAAATGTTGGGCCCCAAGTAAATGTATGACTTTTATCGACTACTTTTATAAATACATTTGAATAAAATGATGACTGACCATATCGACTCTATCTGCATTTCGTGTTACTATCGATTGGGCATACGCAGTATTATCTGTCGATTATATTACAGTGCAGCTCTGTGCAACAAACCGACAGCTGTTTGTGTTTGTGAACTTCACCTTGTTATTATTGTAAAATTTAACCGAAACTCGAACTTTTCGTGCAAAAACAAATTACATTTCTGGCTTTTTTGTTTTATTAGTGCAGTTTAACTGTTCACACCTTATATATACGTGCTATAGGTCGAATCATCCCATGGTATATATGATTATCTAATTTGCTACCACAAAGCAGCAACAATAATATCGATGTTTAACAAACTGTTAACAAAGAAACGTGTGTAAATAGAGAAAGAAACACACACAAACAGTTCGACACAAATCCGATCATCTAGTGACAACCGGAAAACCAATCAACAAGGCGAGTTAAATTTAAAAAATTATCCGTTTCTGACCGTAGAACAAAATCGAAACTTCCATACACATTATAGAAAAAAAATATTGAGAACAGTCTTAAAGACATTTTAATTTGGATACCATAACTATTTGACTGTGTAGATATGTGCATACGTATATATTTCTAAAAAAATAACAAATTAAAAAAAAAAATCAAAAAAACAGCAGTGTCGGTAGCTATTCCTACGACGCAATACCAAATAATAACAATCGTGAAAAACGGTAACCAACGATCGATATATCGATAGCTGGCGATCATACCTGCAACGCATGACAAAAGGTGGCGCCGCAGTCATAAACATCGACAAGGACAACAAACGCAACTAAAGCGCAGGGCGAATATAAATAAAAGGTGAACTCATTGAAATTTAAAAACAATACATTAACCTGTATCTCTCACCCTATGCAGGCTTTTCGCTCCGTTACTTTCGCACAGCGCGGTGTTGTTGTGGATCGGAGTAACAACAACAAACTGCTGTTGTTAAAATGTCTGTAAGACTGTTAACCGTGCGACTGGTTAAACATGGTCGCTACGTTTTACGCAGCTATTGGAATCGTGAAATACACTCCAACATTTTGGAACAAAGCCAGTTAAAAACACGAAGCAAGCGAGGCTTTCCCCTATCATCCGTCAATGTTTTACGGGTGAGTACAGATGCATTTATTTTATTTATGCTACAGATGACACTTTGCCTAAGCATCTCCCCAATTGTGCATGTGTATTAGTAAGCTACACTGCAACGAGCGAGATAGCAATAGACGAAATGAATGCTATTGATGACAGTCGTCAATGCACAAAATATTTATATATTGAATATGAATATGAATATTAGTGAGCAGCATAAGTCTAAAAACAGCATTGCAAAGGGCGAGATAGAAATAGATATGAAGACAGGAGTTTAACTCCATATGGGATTGCCTTGCAAGTGTCATCCTAGCATAAAGCACTTATTAAATATTTGTTTTGATTTACGCACATTGTATTTTATTGATTTCTACTTTGGTTGCCGTTTAGAACTCAGCCGTACAACAGCCGACGGCAAATGTTGTACCACGCTGCTGTCCAGCGCCAGCGCCCAGTCCTGCGAATAGCGGACTCTTTCGATTTGGCCAGCATGCGCGCAAGTTGTTCATTGATAATATATTGAGCCGTGTGACCACCAATTATTCCGAGGAGCTGCGTCAGCGTGCGACACGCAAACTATTTTATGGCGATTCCGCCCCATTTTTTGCTCTAATTGGCGTCAGTTTGGCCACCGGGTCGGGTGTGCTGAGCAAAGAGGATGAGCTGGAGGGCGTTTGCTGGGAGATCCGCGAGGCAGCTAACCGCTTGCAGGCAGACTGGAATCATGATAAGATATCTGAAACGTTGAACAGCAATTTCAATATTGATCAACTCGAGGTGGGTCCGCCCATTGCCAAGGGCTGTGCCGCTGTGGTTTATGCGGCCAATTTTAAGGAGAATCCCATAAGCCAGCAAAACGCTAAAGAGTCCAGTGCTAATCCCCTGCGTCCAACTATGTCAAACAAAATGCCAAGCCAGAGCTCAACATGGAATCATGAGTTGATGTCACCACTACAGAATATGTCGCGTTTCGTTCACAATTTTGGTGGCTCCGTCGACAACATTTACAACTATAGCCAGCCAACAGCTGCCGCCGCCTTTGTTGATGGTCAGACTCAGATATCGAAGCAGCATCATGAGGAGCACCAACAACAGCAATCAAGCGCTTACAGTCAGGAGGAGCAGCAGCAACAACAACAACAACAGCAACCGCAAGTGCATGCAGAAAACGAATCCATTGAGAGATATCCGCTTGCCTTGAAAATGATGTTCAACTATGATATACAGAGCAATGCGTTGTCTATATTGCGCGCCATGTACAAGGAGACGGTGCCGGCACGTCAACGTCGAATGAATGCCAGCGCTGAGGAATGGGAAAGGCTGTTGCAAAATCAAACTTTGACGCTGCCGCCGCATCCAAATGTTGTTTGCATGTTCGGTTTCTTTTGTGATGAGGTTCGCAATTTCCCCGACGGCCATATACTTTATCCGATTGCGCAGCCGCAGCGCATCAATCCGCAGGGCTATGGACGTAATATGTCGTTATATTTGCTAATGAAACGTTACGATTACAGCTTGCGAGGTCTACTGGACACCACCGAATTGAGCACGCGCACCAAAATCCTGCTGCTGGCCCAAATGCTGGAGGCGGTCACTCATCTCAGTCGCCATGGCGTTGCCCATCGTGACCTTAAATCAGATAATGTGCTAATCGAATTGCAGTTATCGCCCGATGATCAAGCTGCATCATCGTCGGCGCCGCTGCTGGTGCTATCCGATTTTGGTTGCTGTCTGGCGGACAAGGTGCATGGACTGCGTTTGCCCTATGTAGCCAACGATATTGACAAGGGTGGCAATGCAGCGCTGATGGCGCCTGAGATCTTTAATACACAGCCGGGACCGTTCACCGTGCTCAACTATAGCAAGGCCGATCTGTGGGCATGTGGCGCCTTGGCCTACGAAATCTTTGGCCAGCCCAATCCCTTCTATTCGACCAGCGCCGGCATTGCTCGCGCTCAAGGTGAACTCACTTACTCGCTGAGGAATAGCGATTATCGACACGAACAGCTGCCACCACTATGCGATGCCTGTCCGCCACTGATGCAGCAGCTAATCTACAATATACTTAATCCAAATCCATCGAAACGCGTTAGTCCCGATATTGCGGCCAATGTGCTGCAGCTGTTTCTGTGGGCACCATCCAAATGGCTCAAAGCAGGCGGCATGCCCAGCAGTCCAGAGGTGAGCAACAACAGGCAGTCGGTTAACCTATTCATTCTGACAATTTTTTCAATTCCCATAGATTCTGCAGTGGCTTCTTTCGCTGACCACCAAGATCATGTGCGAGGGTCGTCCACAGCATGGCAACAGCAGCAGCAGCAGCGTCCAGTCGACCGGTCGGCACGCATATGTTGAGTATATGCTTATCTGCAGCTTTTTAGTTCGTGCCCGTCTGCGTCGCATTCGTGGCGCCTTGAATTGGATTCAGAATGTGGTCGCTGCATAAATCTGCGTCCAATTTATGGGGAGGAATGGACATATTTATTGAAGAAATGTTTACATCTTGTTATTCGCTGAGGTGAAGAAAATCAAAAGAAAAATAGAAAAAGCGTGTGATACCTAATATATATATCTATATATATTTATGTATATATACACATATATTGTTATATGTATATGTATAAATATATATATATGCTTACATACATACATATTTTATAAAAATTACAAAATTAGCCGCATACAAAAAGAGGAGTTTTTATTTCATGGTTTTCATCGGTATATAAACGCAATTATATTTTACTACGAGTGCGCCTTTGTGTCCCCCGAGTCGAGCTAAACATCTTGTAAATATATCAAATACTATAACAATTGGGCAAATCAACTATTTAGGCATGGAAGAGAAGAAGGTGAGCAATCCCATAAGGTCTTGTGATTCATCCAAATGCTTTTTGATATTAGCAAAATTGGCGTTTTGTGGAGAGATTTGGATGAGCCAGATTTGTGTGTGCTTGACTTCGATTATGATGAAACGGCCTTTGCCAAAATCTATGGAAAACAAAGTTTTAGTTGCATTGGGAATCTGGTTTACGGTACAGCCGAAATGTTGAAGTTTCTGATTCAGCAGATCCATGTAAATCATCCAATGTTTGCCATCTAAAGAAAATAAATTGAATTAATACACATATAGTATATACATATACATAAAGTATAGCTATGTCTGTCGCACCGATTTTGCCGACTTCGAGTTGCGTTTTCTGCTGACCAACTGTGATGTGTTTCAAGTCATTGGATATTTTATTTAATTTGTCCTCGAGATTAGTTGGTTGCTTTGCTTTAGGAGCGAGCGCCATTTCAATCTGGTCCATTGAATTTTTCACTTCGGCAGTCGCCTTATCCAATTTACTTAGTTCGTTTTTTACATTTCTCAACTTTTTTGATTCTATGGCCATTTTGAAGCGAGCAGAACCACTGCAAGTGCAAACGCGCTACTTTTGATCGAACAAAACGATATCTTTCAATGTCAAACAAATTTATCGACTCAGTATTTTTTGAATACCAATTCAAAAATAAGCCAAATATAACGTTAATGGCAAATAGTAGTTGACATTATTGACATCCTTCCTTAAAACTCAATTAAATGTCATACCTGATGTCTTCTTCAGTTAGTTATTCCCAGATATGTCACTAAACAGTTCTTTTAAAAAGTTGGATGAGGTATCCTTCAGCAGAAGTAAATTCCCAAGCGAAAATGAAAAAATCGAATGAACACCTTACACGTAAGTCAATTTTCACTAGGAATCATAAAATAAAAAGTTTTCAATATTTTTATACATATACATATATGTCGAAGGAGCTTTAATCACATGTTACATTTGGTCTCTGCCCTCTCCTAATCGTTTTAGAAAGGTGATCAGGTGTTGGTATAGGAGATATTTGATATTTCTTAACTTTTAACGGCTTGGCGTATATATGTATTTTATTTGAATAATGCGATTTCTTAAATACATATATTTATATTAAAAATCACGATTCGAATTTGGTGTCTACTTTGCTCACACACAGTTTATGGTCGTAGAAGGAGCAGGTGGCCATGTGGAGACTGTGTGAGTGGTCATCCGACAGTTCGGATTTATCGATATTTGGCGCCCAATCGGCACCATAACAAATGCTCGAATGCTCCTCGTAGCTGCCCAGGAGACTTAGCGCTCCTTCCTTCAAGTGCACAACACTAAAATTTTTGTACATGCATGCAGTTAGGATTATGTCAGTTCGTTGTGGATGGGGCTTAAGCCGCCAGATGCCACCATTTAGATTCAGTTCTGTTAGGCTGCGTTTCATAGCCCTTGTATCGAACACACGCAGTAGCTCGTCATAGCTGCCCGTAAGCAGTTGATGTTCGTTTTTTGGATGGCTGAGCAGACAGGTGACGCCAGCGCCATGAGCTCTATTTGTCCAGATTCGTTGTGACTGCTCCTCCGTACCGGTGCGCAAATCGTAGGCATGCAGCAAACTGTCGTCGCCGCCGCTGAAAACACGCTGTGGATTCCAGCGATCAAAGGCGCATGTCCACGCCTCGAATTCATGCGCATGCCAAGTGTGGAGCTTCTTTAGCTCATCCTGTGCCGTATACTGCAATTGATGGATATTACCCAGCGAATCGGAGACGAGCAGCTGCACTGCACCTGCACCAACATCATCAAAATATTTCCAGTCGAGGGAAAGTGCCAGAGCCTTTGATACGTTTAGCGGAGTCTCTTCCAGCGCAAGCTGTGCGCGCTGCTGCAATCGCCGCTCTGAGTCCAGCAGTTCGTAGATCCCCACATCACCTAGAGCATTAACTGTGGCCAGCAGCGGACCTGTATTGCAGCTCCAAGCCGGCAGCCACTTCATGTCCAATATTGCTGCCGTTTCGATGCACTGCAGCTGTTTCAGTGTGCCATTTTCTCTGTCGAAGGCAAACAAATAAATGCGACCCTTTCGTGGCCGTTGCACCTCAGCTGAAGCTGGAGCGGCGCTGTTCTCCTCAGCCTCAACCAGCTGATAGGTGCCACAGGCAAAATATTTGTCATGCTTCTCATCCTGTGTACACCATTCCACCGAATCCGCCGAGTATTCGGTGTCCACGTTGTGCAGTGTCGTAAACTGCATGGCTGCTGAATAAAAAAATAGCGCACAAAAAATGCGCTCTGGTCACACTACAAAGCAGCGATTGACGCAATTGTTATCGATAGGCGCCATGTTCTTATTGCTCTTATTAGATTTATTTTGTTTGTTTTTCTCTACTTTAGAAAATTAATACGTACTTTCTACTTAGTGCTCGTTTCATGTTATGGGCTACAAATCATTATGAATTATTTAGGCTTAGTTGTTCACTTTGTTTGCTTATTACATTACATACAAAAAAAAATATGGGATTAGGCGGCCATTTAACAAAGACCGTTACACTTTCAAAAATGTTACAATTTCTAAGACCTATTTTATATGCAAATACATTGATTTCTCATGAGTTTTTTTTATCGTTTTTCTTTTTTTTTTTAGCTGCATAATTATATATGTATATATATATAGTTAGAGTGCACGTGTGTGATTGTTTTTTTTTTTTGTTGTTGTTTTGTTTGTTTTATTTTTGTGTCGGTGCGTTTCGTTACAGTTTCCATTTACTCTCACACACTGTTTTTATGCTCATCTTTTGTGTTTTTGGTTAGCCATGGATCTATCTGATGGCATATCTCTAATTGCTTTATACATATTAAGATGTATGTACAATGCATTATTGCACTCTCGCTCCTTACTCGTACTATCTCTTTCTCTCTAAAAGCTATTGCACTAACGTATCCTTAAACTACGAATGTAAGTTTAAACATTTAAAATTTCATTCCAAAAAGTTACAAATGTGTATATATATGCATTTATATATATAGTTAGTTGTTTATGTGTATATATATGTGTGTGTGTGTGTCTGTGTGTGTGTAGTTTAGTATTTAAATATAGAACGCGCGCCTTAAGGATATCTTTTGTTTCTTTCTTTCCTGCTCTCTCTCTCTCTCTATTTCTTTCGTTCTGTTTCGCTTTCACTTTGTACAAACGCGTTCAATACAGACGAAATATTCTATATATATATATATATATATATAGCTACAAGAAATGTGGGTGTGTGTTAGGGGAGGGGTAGGGTAGGAGGCGTGGCTGACCAGACGAAATATTTGTGTTTGTGTGTGTGTGTGTTCGTTCGTTGTCAACAACAATTTCTGCACGCTGCAGCGCCAACAATAGCCAAAATTATAGCTAGATTTATATATAATATATATATATATATATACATAGCTGATCTATATATATATATATATATATATACAGCACAGAGTCTAGCATTTTGTTAGCTCATTTTGGCGCTTTCGCGATACTCATTTGGTTTTCATAACAATTATTGGTTCGAGTATCTTTAGCATATCATTATTCTCAGGTGCGCCGGCTCCGTTGCCACCTGCCCCGCCAGCCGCACTGCTGGCGCTGGTCGCTGTGGCCGCCTGCAGCTTGCTGTAGCTTTGCTGATGCTGATTGAGGCTGACCAAGCGCTGCTGCTGCTGATTGATGACAATTGCCTCGTGATGCGGCTGCTGCAGCAGGCTGCCTGTCATTTGATGGAGTTCATGTTGCTGCTGCTGTTGCTGCTGCTGCTGTTGTTGCTGCTGCTGCTGCTGTTGCTGCTGCAATTGTTGCTGCTGCAGCACATCCAGCTGCTTGTCCTGCTCATCAGCATCGCCATCGTCCAGCTGCGAGTCCGTTTTCAGCACAAAGCTATCCCCGCCATCCGTATCATTGTCGTACAGCTGCTCGGCCGTATCGTCCTCGGTCTTGCCGTGAAATTCGGCGCTGGCGCTGCTGCTCGTGCGCGGCGTGTGGCTGCGCATGCGCCGCAGTCTGGCGTATTCGGCCTGCTTGGACAGCCGTTCTTTGCGCTCCTCATTGTTCTCGGTGGCCCGGATCTGTGCACGCTTAAGACGCGCCCGTTCGCTTAGCTTCTGCAGTCGCAACGTTCGCTGCTCGGGCGATTCATTTGCACGCACCGCACGCTGATGCGCCGCCATTTTGTCGAGTCGAATGCGCTTCTCCTCTTCCGTTTCATATTTGTTGGCGCCGCTGCGTCGCGGCGTGGCAGAGCCATCGCCATCTGCCGTGGAATGTGCATGATGTAGATGGTGATGATGATGGCCATGATGCAGTGGCGGACGGCCGCGTCGCCCGCTTCCAATGCCCGTTCCCAAATGCGGTGCGGATAGCATTTGATTGAGTTCCTGTTCCAGCAGCGTGTTCGCCTTCAGATGATCCTCACTGGTCAACAGGCTAATCTTACGTGGACGACCCCGACCCATTTTTGGGAATTCATGCAGCAGTTGCTGTTGCTGTTGCTGCTGCTGTTGCTGCTGCTGTTGCTGTTGCTGCTGTTGCTGCTGCTGCTGTTGCTGTTGCTGCTGCTGCTGCTGTTGCTGCTGCGGATCCTGTTGCTGACCAAGTCCGGTGACAGTTAGCGTAGGATTTGCACCGGTTGGCGCCGTCAGTATATTGTACTGTCCTGGCGCCGTTGGACTGCTCCCGCCACTGGCATTGGCGAAATGCACGGGCGTAAATGGCGGCGGCACCGTATTGGGGCCGATGCCCAATTGGAAGCCATTGTGATACATGGGATAGTAGGCGGTTGCGCTGGCTGCCGCTGAGCCATTGGCCGCGCCAGCTGCACCGCCGCCGCCCGTAACTGTAACTGTACCAGTTCCACTCGTTCCAGTACTGTTGGCCGTCGCTGGGAATGTGGCCAGATAGGGCAGCTGATTGTATAGCTGAGTGCCGGTTGTTGTTGATGTCGTTGCTGCCGCAGCGGCGGCGGCGGCTGCGGCTGCAGCTGCTGCTGCTGTGCCCGGCTTAAGAACCTTCTGCTGCTGCTGCTGCTCGGCGGCGGCCACAATCACCTTCGCCTCGTTCTGACCCAGTGTAACAGACCCGCTGTTATCGTTCGCCTCGCCAGACTGCAACAGAAATGTTTATGTTTTTTTCAGGTTATGTGCGGCAAGTGAGGTTATGTTGAAGAAGTGCACTAAACAAACTGCTCTACCTCCCTCCCTTTATCTCTCTCGCTCTCCCTCTCTCTGCATAGTACTTTGTTAAGTTGGCTGCGCGACACTTTTTAAGCTTTTGCATACCCTGTTTATGTGCTCAAGTTCAGCAAGGCAGACAAATTGCAGCTAATAACAGATATATGTACATATATTGTGCATATATATATACTATATATATGTATATATATAAATATTCTCTGTATAGTCAGGCTAGTTACTTCATACAATAGTAATAGGAATTTCTTACTTCTGAAAATCAGTCGAATTTCCAATGAGAATAAATTGATTAGTTTTTAAGGTTATGTTCATCACAACCTACTTTTAAGGTTATGTTAAGGACCTACTCCATATATACATAAATAGTTTTATATACATATATATATACCCATTTGATATATTTGTGCGAGGAAGACAGCTAGACAGACGACAGACAGACAGGTACAGGTACAGGTACAGACAACGTTTTCTATTTGTTTTTGAAATGAATTGAAGACACATTTGGCATACATTTTTGGGCATTATACAGAATTGCGCTTTAATCGGCTTTCGGATATTTTCTTTTTTTTTTTTTTGTTTCTTTTTTATATACAAAAGATTTTCTTGTTTTTTTTTTACATTATAGTTAAGTATTTTATATAGGTTAGGCTTAACTTCATTTTTTTTTTGCTATGTACAGTGAAATCTCCACTAACGAAAAACTACTTCTACAGACTTTTCACTTTCGTAATATGCAAAAAAAAAAAGAAAAGAAAAACAAAAATGATAGAGAACATTTAAACTCGCTTCCGGCGTACGCTCTAAAGAGCTTTCACTGTACATACCGTTGGTATTATATATATAAATATATCTTCAATTAACTTCAAAACATAAACAAAACAATGAAAACGAAACGAAAGAAAAACAAAATTCCGCCTTGTTCGCTACTTTCTGTACTTTTGGCAACTATAAAATGGAATGAAACAAAAAAATATGTTAAAACTTGTTAAAATGTAGTGTTACTTTAGCTGCTTTACAACAAAATGGGAAGAAACACAACCTGGCATTTTTTTCACTCTACAATTCCCTGGTTTGCAACAAAATGGAATTGAAACAAACAAATTCGACTACGTTTCTCCTCTCGTTCGTTTAACTAAATGAAACAAAATGATATGAAACACAGACATTAAAATGAAATAAACCAAAAACTGAAACTCAGTTTTCTGCCTGTTTACTATTCTAAACTCTTCTGTGATACAAAATGAAATGGAACACAAACACAAACACATTTAAAGCAAACTCAAAAGCATGAAGCTCGCTCCATGGTCGTCCCATTTGCTATGCCAAACTTGGCTATTTGACTTAGAGAAACAAAATGAAATGGAACACAAAAAACAAAACAATGAGTAGTATAGTATCTATTAAACGCTAATAAGTTGACTTGAAACTTTGGCTTCGGCTTTACTTTCTTCATTCAAGCTTTAAATTTGGAACCTCTCTCAACCCCGCTGCCCGCTACTCGCTGCCTCCTGTCTCCTCTCTCCCCACCCACTCTATGTACCGCTATACGCTTTAGTGTTTGTTCTTGTGCTTTTGCTGTTGTTGTTTGCTGTTCTTGTCTGGTTGTTGTTGTTGTTTTGTTCCCGCCGCCCTGGCACTGCCTACGGCTGCATACGCACCTGAAGTTCCACCATATTGGCGTATTTCTGCTTATAGAACTCGAGCTGATTGGCAATGCTAAAGTGCGGGACATGCGCCTGCAGCAATTTACCGGTTTTGCCCGGCTCCTCGCCATAGATCTGTTGGACAAAGATGCTGCCCGCCTCGGCAGCTCCACTGCCACCAGCCACTCCATCGATCAGCTGTTGGGCGCCAAGTGAATAGCGCGGCTGTTGCTGCTGCTGCAGTTGCTGCTGCTGTTGTTGCTGCTGCTGCTGCTGTTGCTGCTGGTGCTGCTGTGGCTCCTGTTTCAGCTGCATGGTCGGTCGCGCTATAAACATATTCTGGCCCATATACTCGATGGCCTGGTGCTGTTGATAGGCAGAGGCCGGGGCAGCCGTTACCAAATGCTGATCATCGGCGGCAACAGTTGCTGCTGCGGCTGCTGCTGTTGTAGTATTGCTGCTGCTGCTGCTGGTGGTGGTGGCATTGTTGTTGTTGTTGTTGGCAGGCGCTGATGTGACGTTTGCCTGATTTAAATTAATATTATGCTCATTATTACAATTGGCTGATTGGCCAGCTACGTTTGCAGCGGCGGCGGCGGCGGCAGCAGCGGCTGTTGCCACTGCTAGCACCTGCTGCTGCTGCTGCTGCTGCTGCTGTTGATGTTGCTGCTGCTGCTGCTGCTGTTGCTGCTGCTGCTGCTGCTGAACGGTCAGTGTATTGGAATTGGTCGAATTGGTCGATGAAGACGACGACGAATTCTGAACATGCACCTGCACCTGTTTGTATATCTTTTTCTTTTCTCTGACCTTTTTCGCATAGTCGTTCAGCTTTCTCAGTCTTTCCTTGCGCTCGTCAACCGATTCGCTGGCAATGCGCTGTCTAGCTCTGGCCGCCATCTCTGCCAGTCGCACCTTGCGTTGATCCGCCGTCTCGCTGGCTCGATACATGCGCATCCTTTCGGCCAGCTTGGCCAAACGCTTCGATCTCTGATCCGGTGATTCCATTGCCCGTCGCAGGCGCTGACGGGCTGCATTGCGTACCAGTCGCATTGCACGCTCCAAATCTGATTCATTCTGTCGCCTTTGGCGATTTGCTTCGGCGTTACGCATCAAACGTTTTCGATATTCGTCTTCACTTTCACGCTGACGTCTCTCGCGCATCCTTTCAGCATTGCGGGCCAACCGCCGTTGTCTCGCCTCTGGACTCTCGTTCCAACGCTGCTGGTGTTGATGATGATGATGTTGTGGCTGTTGCTGTTGCGTATTGCTGTTGCTGTTGCTGACTGTCGAGGTGGGTCCCAGGGGCGTGGGCGGCGGCTGTTGCTTAAGCGAGAGCGGCTGTGTGTAAGCGGGTAATGTTATTTGCAATTGTTGCTGATGAAACTGTTGCTGCTGTAGGTGATGCTGCTGTTGCTGTTGTTGAAACTGTTGCTGTTGCTGCTGTTGTTGCTGCTGTTGCTGGTGCTGTTGCTGTTGCTGCAATTGCAATTGCTGTTGCTGATGTGTCGATAGGGGTACCAACAGCGCTGACGGATGCTCGATAAGAAGGCGCGCATTTGGGCCATTTATTGCCAAGAGTGTTGCGTATTGTTGTTGCTGCTGTTGCTGCTGCTGATGATGGTCAAGTGTTGGTTCGATCTTTATCCCATTGGGATCTGGTTCCATTATTTGGCAAAGCCTGAACAACAATCGAAATTGTCGTCAAATTGTTTTCTCTGCCGCTGCTGCTGCTGCTCGATCGATTATTGCGATGCCTTTCCAGTCTATATTCCAGTCAACAAACAGCGATGATGCTCGTGTCCCCGTCCTTTTGCTGATATCGATAACTGTTGCTGCGATTGCTATTGCTGTTCTTGCTGTTGTTCTTGTTGTTGCTCGGGTGACAATAACGCTGGCGTTTTGATCGCCGCATTTAACAGCCGTTCTCGTTTTGCTTGCGTTTGCGTTGTTTCTCGTTTTTTCGTTTTTGTTTTGTTTGTTGCTTCGCAATTGGGTTTTTGTTATATAAAGATTGTACTCAAATTATCGTTATCGTAAATCGCTAGCGCTCTATACATACGCACATGTGTGTGTATGTATTCGTGTGTGTCTATATTGCGCTTTTTCCTCTTTTTTTTATTATTATTTTGTGCGTTTTCGTTTTAACAACTTTTAGCTGCTGCTAATAATGAATTCGCTCTCTTTCTCGCTCTCTCTTGCTCTCGATTTTCTTTACCGTCGCTCTCTCGCAATCGGTGTGACTGTTTCGGTTTCTGTTTTGCGCATCACCTTTTTTCTTTTTTCCTCTTTTTTTGCTTGTCAATCAATTTGCAATATGCTTCTAAATGTTGACCGCTGCCGTTGACGCTGCTTCAGCTATTTTTCCTGGCTGTCTGCTCTTCCTCTTCTTCCTCTGCACATGCAAAAATTACGAATGGGGGGCGGGGGGAGAAAAGAAATGAAAACAACAAAAATATTCATACAGATGGCAACAACAAATGGCATTCAAAACGTACGGTTTGTGTCGCAGCTAAATGAAATTGCGCACCTTTCACTGCGATTTTCGCCTAGACGCAGCTATTCGTGATTTTGTTTTTTTTTTTATATTTTTATTCAATGTTATTGTGCAAATGCCGTTGCGTGTTTGCAATTTGCTTTATTTTCGTATTAGATCAGTTGACTGTATTTTTGTCTTCTTTTTTTTTTGGTGGCTACTTTTGGTGCGTGCGCACGTTTCTTCTTCTTACTTGATAGTAAATGACAATTGGCGCCGCCACCGTTGCCGATGGGCCGTTCCAATGACTATATGACTTCCAGTGCCTTCCAATCGATTTTTCACATGATTATACGTGCACACACACAGCCACATGCACACATTGGTTGGTTGGTTTGCTGGCTGACACGCACATACACACACACACGCGCACGCACACACACTGCTACAGCAAACGGCGGTCTTTATATATACATACGTATAGGTCTGTCTGCATGTATGCCGTACATACATACATATATTGTCTTATAAATATTTTGATGCCTTTTGCCACAATTGTTGCATCAGTTGCAACACATTTAATTGATTTAACACTTTACCGCTCCAATTTGTCGGCATTTGTGAAACGCACACACACACGAATGCACTAAATATATATATATATATTTATATATAGATATATATGTATGTATATGTGTGTATATAAATATATTTAGTTTCCCATATTTCGGCTTTGCATTTAACAATTGTTCAATATGCCAAATTGTTTGCGTTTCACTTTTCCTCAATTGTTTTCTGCTTGTTTTCCCGAATGTTAAAAAAACGCGCTAAAATTGTCCGGCAAGTGAAATGCTCCGCCGTTTTCTGTACCAACGCACACAACAACACATTAAAAAATAAATACAACTGGAATGTTGGAAACTGGATGTGTAGGTGTGTGTATGTATACATGTAGCATCAGGCGATAAACGCGATGTCCAACAACCAAAAGAAAAAACTATCGAACAACATTGCGCGCAATTTCGATAGGCACGAACAAAAGGCGCGCACAATCAAAACCGCCAAAGCAAAATTATCGTTTCGTAACTTAATTGCAACAATTTTGAAGATCAAAATAAATGGGCGCTTATTATTTAAAAATTGTGAATGCAACTTTATTCAAGTATTCATTTTGTTTTTCATTTGCTTCTTGTGTTGGTTTTGAGTGTTGTTGTTGTTTGTTTGTTTGTTGTTGTACATAGAATATTACAATTACATAAAATGTTTGTTTCATAATTTTACATCAAAACAATTTTATTATTTGGGAGCTTGAAGGGTGGGGGAGTCATTAAACAGAGAAAAAAAAAACAATTTGAAATTTCGACTAGAACTTAAGTGGTACTTTTCATATATTATATATATAGAGATGTATATAAATACACATTTTGCATGTTTTTTTTTTTTAATTTATAATGTTGCCTTTTATTATTTTGTTGTTTTTTTGTTCTTGTTTTGAAAGGGTTTTCTTTTTTCTTCAAATATTTCATGTAGCGGGGAGCAGGGGCCGGTAGGCGTTCAATGTTGCTATAACAATATGCCATATATATATATATATATATATATATATATATGTGTGTGTGTATGTGTGTGTATGTATGCATGTATGCGCGCTTGTGTGTGTATACCATACATAATCCTGTGTGAATTGTTTATACGCCTGTTGGGGCACTTACACACAGATACACTCACACACACACACACACGGGGGGTTGCTTTGTTTTGAATGTTAGAGATTTGTTTTATTTTCGCTTTTGCTTAGCTGTTTTTCTGTTGTTTGTTGATTGCAAATATGAAACGTGGCAGCTTGCACAATTGATCGCCAGATGGCGCACCTGTTGCAGCTATAGAAAAACAAAATGCCTATTGAAAGTGTGTGGGTGTATGTGTGTGTGGGGAGAAATGCAGTTAGAAGACAATTTTGAGAGACGCACGCTGCAATTTGCTAGCAATGAGTCACCCTGTATCCCAACGTATATATATATATATATATATATATGTGTGTATGTGTGTGTGCGTGCGTGCGTGTATATATGTAGGCATGCAGGCATGTGTGCCCGTGTGTTCATATGGGGTTGAAGTTAATTTTTGTTGCTTTTGCATTTAGCTTTTGGGGTTTGCTGCTATTGCTGTGCTGCTTAAACACACATGTGTGGGTGTGTGTGTGTGTGATGTGCATACATTTACACATAAGTGTGTGTGTGTGTGTGTGTGTATCTATATATTATTCTGTGTTTTGTGTATATATAACTATTTCTATATATATATACATACATACACACATATGCATGTATGCTTGTATGTATGTATACATATACATATATTGTAAGAATATAATGCATGCATTATAAAAATACTTTTTTTTGTGTTTTGTTTTTGCTTTTTTTTTTCTTTTCTTTTCATTTTCTTTTACTTCATTTTTGTTGTTTTGTTTTGTTAATGTTAACTTATAAAAAAAAATTCCTCACACTTATTTTTGCTGCCAAAAAAAGTGCTTCGTTTTTTTTAAATATTATTGTTTTTTTTTTTTTGTTATATTATTTATATTTAAATGTTATGCGGCTGTTTTTCTTCTCATTTTACTTATTCATTTTTTTTTGTTTTTTTTTTTGTTTTTTTTTTAGTCATTTCTATGTAAATGTTATATGTTGTTTCCATTTGTTTTTTTTATGTATACAATATATATATTATTTATAGCTGTTTTTGTTGTATATATATATATATTTCTGCTTCTTCTTTTCTATACTCTGCTCTTGCCGCTCTGCTTACACACACACACATGCATAGCAGCATATATCTATGCATGTGTTCTTTCTTATTGCTGCTGCTGCTGCTGCTTGCGCTTCTTCTTCTGCTTTCTTCTGCATGCATGCTGCTGCTGCTTCTTCTTCCTTTTTTGTGTGTTTGCTTGCACATTTCTGATTAGATACCATTTGATTAGATTCTGCGTCTGTGTGTGTGTGTTTGTTTGTTTGTGTATGTGTGCACTTTACTTGCTGAAGCCCGCTTCACAAGCTTCCAATGTTGCGCTCTGATTGGAGTCGCGCGCCAGGCATATGCATGTTCTTGTGTGTCTGTGTGTGTGTGCTTCTGGGTCTGATTAGATGTCTGATTGGGCTCTCTGCATTTGTATTGTATCTGTTTTCTAATAGCCCTTGAGGCGATCCTCGAGCGGCGGCTTAATCACCTTTGGCGCACTGGCCCTGGAGACGCGCATCCTTTCAGCTGCTTTGGCCAGGCGCTTCTTGCGCTCATCATTCGATTCGCTGGCACGCCGCAAGCGCTGACGGGCGGCATTCTTCATCAGTCTTAAGGTTCTTTGTACTTCGTTTTCGTTTTGCCGGCGCACACGATTCGCCTCCGCATTTTTGGCCAGACGCAGGCGATATTCCGCTTCCGACTCCTTCGAGCGTTTGTCTCGCATCCTCGCCGCGTTCCGCTCCAGACGTCGTTCCCGTGCCTCAATCGATTCGTTGCTACGCCGACGTGCCGCCTTCTGAGCCCGCGACGATTGGTGGCCAAGTGCGACGCCGGTGACAACGAGGCCGGTGGACAAATGTTGATGCAATGGATGCGGCTGCTGCTGCTGCTGCTGCTGCTGCTGTGGATGCTGCTGTTGCTGTGGGTGCTGCTGCTGCTGCTGCTGTGGATGTTGTTGCTGCTGCTGTGGATGCTGTTGCGGAGGATGTTGCTGCTGTGCTGTGTGCTGTTGCTGCTGTGTATGTTGCTGTTGCTGGAAGCTGTCGCCGGCGCCGCTGCTGCCGCCGCCGCCGCTGTTGTTGTTTCGAGTGTTGCTGGTGTTGTTGTTGTTACTGCCGCTGGTCGAATTGTTGTTGTTGCTGCTGGCCGAGTTGTTGTTGGCACCGCCGCCGCCGTTGTTGTTACTGCCGTTGTTGTTGTTGTTATTGCTGTTGCTGTTGTTATTGTTAACAGCAGCAGCAGCTGCCGCAGCAGCTGCAGCAGCAGCAACACCTGTACTCGCACTCGCCGCAGCAGCGGCCGCAACTGTCGTATAGTTATTATATTCAATTAAGCCTCGATTGCTTGGGTATAGATGATGCATGGGATTCTCATAGCTGAGATATTCCGGCTTTATGAAGAACGAATCGCGTGCCGTTAGCGGCGCCGTTGGCGAGTTGAGAAAGTATAAACGGCTATGATGATCTGTGGTAATGCTGCCTCCGCCGCCACCCACACCCGCGGACATCGGAGAGGGTGTTTAATTGTAGATTGCAAATATATATCTTTGATGGCGCCCAAAATTTTTGTGTAATTTCCTCTTCCTCTTCCTCTTCCTCCTCCTCCGCCGCTCTTTCTCTCTCTGTCTCTCTCTCGCTCGCGCTCTCGCTTTCCGTGTCGCTGTTCCCCTCTCCCTCACTCTGCTTTGCTGTATTTTCTAATATTTATTTTTTTGCGTATTTTTTTCGCGCGCGCTGTACACACACACACACAAATTGAAAAGACGGCTCGAAAAAACAATGTGGCGAGTAAACAACAAAAGCGACATATAACTAATCAATATGGAAAAAAAGAAACTTCCAAATTCTGATTGGAAGTCACAATTTCCACGATATACACGCACACACAGACGAACACGCATGCACCAAATAATTCGCATGGAAGTGCTGTTTACTCATTTTGGCTCTGTTATGCTCAACGCTGACTTCCAGTTGTTGGTGTATCGCTTGTGTTGGGATGCGGGGCTAGCACCTCCGCTTATTCCAATTGTCAAAAGCTAGCCGGCATGGTTGCAGCGCAACACACACACACAGAGGTGTGTTGGTAAACACAAATCGATAACAATAATTTTCAAAATAATTATAATAAATTAATAAAGAAATACATTTCTATAATTATATTTAAATACATATTATTATGGGGAAAAAATTTACGAAAAGTGCATAATTTATCTAAATAGAAGATCATCGCTTATAGATCATTTGCTTATATTATTAAATTTTCTTCATATGATTACTTCTTTCATACATTAAATACGGCTTTGTTTAACAGAAATTTTATTTGTAATTCACCTAATTTTTATTGTCAAAATGTAATTCACCTTAATTTATTATTTTATTTTTTTTTTAGCATGAAACTGTTACAATTGCAAATCGATGTTATGCTATCATACCGAATCAAGCATTACTTATATATCGATATACAGATTTTGTACACTACACAGCACCAACTGAGCTTAAAACGGACTTAACATAATTATTGCTGAACAGCGCGCTAACAGTTTATTTTTGTAGCGGTGCTCTTATTGGAAAGGTGTTGTAAGAGCTAACCGCGGCTGTGACGTCATAAATCGAATGTATTGCCAAATAAAAGTGTTATTAATGAAAATATATTGTAAACGGCATATGGAATTTATTGTTAAGCAAGAATAAAATAAATAATGGTATACATTAAATAATTACATGTTTTTTGTCATACGTTACGTGACAGCTTAGCGATCGTGACGTCATTAGCTGCACATGTTTCGCGCTCTCAGAGCGCGTTGCTAAAATGCTTGGAGCAACGTCCCACCTTGTATAGTGTATTTGTGCTGATGTTTTTGCTGTTGGTTTTTTTTATTTTTGATTCTTTTGTTTTGTCTTGTCAGATATTTGCCGTGAGCGGACGTCTTATGTTTAGCGCTGCGCTGCGTCGCAGTTTGCGTAAATTGACTTCAAAACAACTGAACATAACTGTAATCAGCAACAGCGCATTTTTTTGAATTGTGTATAAAACCGTTTGTCAATGCGAATTGTGAAAATTTATTGATTCATTCATTAGATAAAAGCTTGTGAGCGTGTTATATATTTATTATTTAAATAAAATCAATTGTTTTTTTTACTGTTATTTTTTTTATTGCAAACGAAATGTGAAATTCGGCAAAGTGCAGGTGCAAAAAAAAAAGCAAGAAAAGAAAAGAACAAATTCAACAAAATTTATGTAAGCACCTAAAAGAAATACGGCACATAACATAAATGTTAATATATGAATATCAATACGTACATACATACCTACATACATATACAAAACGAACATGAACAATAAAAAGCAACTTTACACATTCCAATTTGATTCTCTGCTTGTGTGAAAAACTAATAAGTAAAAAGAAACGGAGAAGTAGCAGCAGCAGCAACAACAACACAACTAACAATAATAATAATAACAACAACCATAGCAGCAGCAGCAGCGTCGGCAGCGGCAGCAGCAACAAAAACAACAACAGCAGCAGCATAGGCACGGCAAAGTTGTAGTAGAAGAAGAAAATAAATAGCAATTTCGACTAAATAAAGGTATGTGTGTATTTAATATATGCGCGTTAGTGTTTGTGTGTATGTGTGTGTTACGTTTACTTTACATACAAACACTATATTGAGTTATAGATATTAATGTCTGTCTGTGTGTGTGCATATTTCGTTATTAGTTTAACTCTTCAATTTATTTATTGTTATTATTACTGTTGTATATGTATATGTGTGCATGTGTGCTTGTGTGCTTGTGTGTATGCTGTTGCTGCTGCCGCCTGCCGTATTTGTATCTTGTTGTCTCTTTCGCTAGTTCTTATTGTTGTTTGCCATTAACTATGCTCACTTGAGCTGAGCCACTGGAATAGTTACGTTAAATCAGTGCGTGTGTGTGTGTGTGTGTTTGTTTGTTTGTGCTTTAGCATGCGGCAGAGATTACGTTGATAATGCCAAGAGTGTTTCTTTTTTGTTGTGTGCATGTATTTGTTTATTGTTCTCAAAGATATTTTTACACACACATTAACATAGATAGACATGCATATGAATGTATAGATTTAATAAAGTTTAATAGATGCTATAAGTTTATAATTTCAATTCAATTTAATATACATTTCTGCATGCTCTTATATTTTCGTATAAGTTAATTTAGCTTTTTCCTCTTTTTTGCATTTCTTTTTCAAGTCTTGTTTCAGTTTAATGACCTCGCATTTTCATGCTTCTTGTAGCTAATAACTTTCTTACATTGCGCCATTTTGTCACGTCTTTAAATCTAACACACACATTTATGCAAACACACTCACATACACACACGCTCAGGCAATTTGACATTTGGGCTAGGCACATGCATCGAGTAATATAATCGATTAATCAGGCGCAGCTGTCAGCGCATATCTAATGCAAGCAATTGGAATCCGTTGGAATTCATGTGTATGTGTGTATGTGTGAGAAAGGGATTTAATAAGATTGCCTTTGTTGTTTTTTCCATGTTATAGGTCTGCGCTGTCATCCCAATTGCAAATCTAGTTGGGCCGATAAGAGCGCAGCCGCTGTAAAAGGCGCACACTCAAAGGCATTTTCAGCATCTTTTAATGATCCTTTGCCCTGCCTTTGTCTGGCTGCCAGCCGCAGCAGCAGCAGTAACAGCAGCAAAAAACATCTCTTGGCATTTTACGACACATGCAAAACTTGCTATTTAACATAACCATATCCATTTCCAGCCTCTACTCACATACACTTTCATGTATACACACCAGCACACATGCATAGATGTAACAGAGTATCATTAAATGCAGATCTCTATAAAAGCATAAAAAATACATTGTTGTTGTTGTTGTTGTTGTTGTGGTGGTTATTGCGTTCGCTTCAAAACGAAACCAAAACCGAACCAAGCTAAAGCCAACAACAACCTATGCACATGCATACATTCACACACACATACCACCACACATCCACACACACAAAGCCAAAGCAGCAATCCATAATAATCTTCCCGTAATTTATAGTCCAAGACAATTTATGTAATTTACAAATACCAAAAATGAAAGAGACAGCAAATTGACGGAATGTGAACGAATGAGCGAGCGAGCCAAAGAGCAAAGCAAACGTTGAGAGCGCAATGCAACTGCAACTAACGATAATAACAATAACTGAAAAAAAATATACGCAACAACAGCAACGACAGTGTACTAAATAAACAATTCAACAAATTTGATCCGAGGCGAACACACACACACACATGCATGTACATACATGCACACAAACACATACATAGACACAAAAAAACATCGTCGACTCGCACACGCATATCAAAATGCATATGAAAAAAGAAAGAAAAAAATATGTGTAAGAAAACGTATAAAACAACAACAGTAAGTGCAGCAGCAGCGGCAGCGCTGCAAAATCGAATGAGCTGAGCTGAACAGGCGGGCCGGTAAGACGGGGCGGGTGGGCAGCGTTCAAACAAACAGCAACACTGACAGTGACTGCGACTGCGGCGGCGACGGCGGCGCGTATACAGAAAATGTCGTTCGTTTTTGTTTTTGCTTCTCAAGTTTTGTGAACGCATAAAATAACAAGTAGAAGAAGAAAAGGAAGAAGTAGTAGTAGTAGGAGCCATAGTTATAATGCAGCATATCGAAGCTTACATACACTGACAATTATGCATACAGTGAAGGTAATTTAAACAAAAAATACATAAAAACATCTATTTATTTATATATTTGGCTAGTTCCCTATTAAAATAAACAAAAACTAGATAAGATCTAAGAATGTTTTATCAGCGTGCATGTCAAAGTGATTGTTGTATACACTCAGAACTCGGAGTATATCAAAGGTAGAAATATAGAAAAAATAACTAGAGAAAAATTATAAAACTTGCACAAATACTGGCGTAGAAAGACTCACACACACATTGACAGTGAGATACAGCCAGGCTCATTCACTCGCACACACATACAAACGCGCATTGAATGCGGTAATTGCATTTATTGCACTCTTGCGCTCTCTTTTCTTTGCGCCAAGTCTCTTTTAGTTGCGCTCTGCGTGTGCTCCCACCGAAAGCCCTACTCATTGACTCGCTCGCTTGCTTGCTTTTGTCAGCTAAGAACGAAATGCATAAAATAAACTAATAACTTCTTAGATAAAGTATGAAATATTTTTCTATCTTTTGGACTTTCTATGTTTTCTACATTATTGTTGTTGCTTGTTGTAAGGGCATTTGTGCTGCGACTTTTCTGCAAACGCTTTTGCTTGCGGTTTAAAACTTTGCATTGCGTTGCATTAATGATGTTGATGATGATGATTATGATGACTACGATGATGATGTTGATGGGGCTGAGAACTGGGTGTAGAGTTATACAAAGCCAAGCACACACACACTTAAACAGCTGCATTCATGCTCATACATATAGAAGCATAGGTGAGAGGACTTGCTGGTTTGGCATCATTTATGGCGCTGCCTGGACTGTTGCCCCCTCTCTTTGACTGCCTCCTCTCTTCATTTGCCCTCCCATCTCTTCGCTTGCCGTGCACAAACTCGTCTATGCGAAAGCTGTTGCTGCTTTTTATGCGCTTTATTCTGTTCCCAGTTTTCAGTTCCCAGTTCTCAGTTCCTAGTTGCCAGTTCTCAGTTCCCAGTTGCCAGTTCTGAGTTGTCGCTGTGTGCTTATCTTTACTGCCGTTGCCATTGCCAAGTTTTTGTCTAGTTTTGGTTTTTTCTTTCGTTTTTCTTAACTTTGTCGTTCGTCTCGCTCTGACGCTTTAGCATATTTGTGAGCTCCTGCTTCTCTCCTTGAATCTCTCTTTACCTCTCTTTAAGCACACACCCACCGCCCACACGCATCTTAGCTTGTTCTTTAAATTTCTCATACCCAGTTCTTAGCAGAATA